GAAAATATGCAGGAGAAAGAGCGAGCTGTTTTAGCTCCACTACTGTGAAGTAGTCACAACAGAGTTGTCAAAGCTTATTGGAGAACCTATGAGAGCTTTGCTGCGTGGGTCAGTGGTAGTTAACAGACCCCGCTTATCACACATGCTAGAGGCTATTGTATCTTCCCAATGTGTTATTGGTTCGGTCAGCGCACTTCACTAAAGGGATCGTAGCAGTCGACGTTGGTCTTGCGTGACGAACGCTGAGCGAGTCGCAGCTGGGGCGACCGCCACCACCTGCCTGCCGCGGGAACGCTGGGGAGTCCAGAGGGAGCCATGGCTCCCCTCAAAAGGCCTAGAATTTTCAATTACCTTCCTTTGTTAGGCAAAATCGATTTAAATATTATGTTCGTATTATGTAATTATTTAAACAATAATATTGCATAGTATGATACCTACAGTTCATAAATAATATAATAACAAATGAGTATTATTTAACAAACACCTGCGATGCTCGTCTCCCAAATGATCGGCCCAGATGATCCGTCCCTGCGGAGGGCGCGTTACATTTCTGTATTTTTTGAACAAATACAAAATATTGCGAAATTAACTTTGTCATATTAAGAAAGTGTCATTGTCGCTATCCGTACGACATGTTTGAAGAAAACATTTGGAGCAGATTTTGAGAAAATGGCGTTTAAGCGTTTCTGAAAATGCAGCTATTGTGAGCTAGTTTTCACAGAAAACGGTTGAGAGTACGAGAAACTTAACGTGACATTATTTAAACCACATGTACTCATAAATATAATATCGTGAACAAATCGCTGCTAATATAAATATTAACATCGTGAAAACTAGTTATATAAATTACTTATTTGTAATTATTGAGAGAAGAAAAGGATAGATCGATATGGCGGTTATGTCATCTTATAGACTGCATTTAGCACTATCCCTACCAAAAGTTTAAAGAAAAAAATTGGAGCGGTCTTGAGAAACTCTTGTTTTTGTAATTTTTTAAAATTGCAAATATTGCACGCAATATTGCGCGGAAATTACTCAAAGGTGGTAAAAAATGTACATGAGTTTAATGAAAGAACTCACTCTGAACAACAAGTTTTATAACGCGGAAAAACCTCTACCTTCAGTTTTGTTATTCTAGAAAGAGGCGGAAAAATTTCACTCTTACAATTTTCTAAAATTCAGAGATAACGGTGAAAATCTGACCTATGTCACCTTTATAAGTGTATTTTAATTTATTTTCAAAAGAAATTTAAAGAAACATTTGGAGCCGTTTTGGGGAAAATTTTGAAAATGTCCGAGAGGCTTCATGTAAAGTGCCCTCAAATTTACCCGCAGTATTGATGTGACGTTTCCGGTCCACGGTTCCATGGTCCACGTTATTGCAGATGGCACCCCACACCATGACTCCCGGAGTGCGTCCTACGTGACGTGGACGAACACACTGGCACGCGCTCGCCTGTGCCACGCCGCACACGCACACCGGCCATCACCGCCTGAGGCAGAAGCGGCGCTCACACTAAACACCTCTGCGGGATCGCCAGTTCCAGGCTGCCCAGACATTTGCCACCGCGCCAAGATGTGCCCGTCCGGAGTGGTCGGCGATGAGTGGCAGTTCGGGCTCAGCTGGTAACGGCATGCCGAGGCATACCTGAGTCCATTGACTGGAACCTTATCCGCAGTTGGACAGGATTTTTAACAAGCAACCACCGCAGAGAGAGTTCGGGCCATTTCGACATCAGGGCGTCAGTCATCCGTGAAATGTTAATCACGCCATCTACCACCCCCTCCCCCAACCCTAACGTAACTTATCGCCCACTTCGTTGCTCGTGCCCTTCCGCTTTTATCCCGTCAGTGTTTAAGCAGTCATCTGTAAATAACATGGAAAAAGTTCATTTCTTTAGCGAAATCAATTATTTTCTTTTGATAGTCTTGAGCACTTAGGATGTTTTCAAGTTTGCTTTCTACTTGTTATTTTTGCCTCAAGTTTTTGAGCAATAAATTAAAATAGGTCTAACATTTAGAGGAACTTTACAATGATCACATTTAAGAGAGGATTTCCCACCCATTAAACTTCAATAGAGATAATTTGCAGTGCTTAAGTCTTAATCTATCTAATGAATATATAATATTTCCATATAAACTCTAAATTTTTTTATTGACCTAGTGTTAGAGATATTTTTGTGTTTTTCAGTAGTTATCATACATTCATACATTTTCTTCGTTCGAACTAGATATTTTATTTTTGTTAGATAAATGATTCCATCAGTTCTTTAATGTGTTTGAAATCACTATTAACCTACGCGCAATTAACAAGAGGTTTAATCAAGAGTTATCTTAATCAAGGAGGTAATCATTTCGCAACTATAAATTCTTTTTTAAGGACCTTTAAAGAATACAAAAATATTTTTTATTATTTAAGGTCACACAATATACTATATATGTATATATATATATATTATATATATAATAATATATATATTAATATATATATATATTAATGATAACTGTGGACGATAGACATGATTGCGATGATAGGGGTAAAAGGACGAACACAAATACAACCATGTCCGAGGTGCGACTCGAAACCGCGATCCTTCAGCCCGAGATTCCTACGGCTCTACTGCCTTACCGATCTCGGCCGTCCGGACGACATCCTAAAATATTTGTTAGCACACACGCATGGAAGCTAGTACTTACCTTCAGCGTTTACTTTCGAAAGTGTTACTTTGGTGTACGTGTACGGTATAGAAGTTGTTGTGGAAATTAACTTACGAGTAACAATCCTTCTGAGTAATTAACTTGACGAGAATTGTTAATATTTATCGTACATGAAAGGGACATCTGGGGAAGAAGTAGTGTAGATGATGGAAGGTCTCGACCTCATTTGAAATTTGGTGTTGGTGGAGAAGAATAAAGGTAAGAGGAGATAAAATGAAATTATTTAATTATAAGATATTAAGATTATAGATTCAGTCAGTTGCCTGTGTACATCTTGAGCTTTACAGTTCAGAATTTAAAAAAAACAAACAAAAAATAATGGCAAATAATGAAAAACAATAGAAATAAACATAGACTACGTATATTAAAATGTCAGATTGGGTCCCTATCGTCTCCTGGCCCATTAAATTTCCTTCGTATTTCAAAACTCATCTTCTGTACTAATTACTAAAAACCCATTTGTGGAATGAATTAGGTCATAGTTTAGTTCATGCATTAAGATTACCATTTCTCTCTTGGGATTGTTGCTGCTGATAGCACCCTTAGTTTCAAAATCTCTAAAGAAGACAATTAACTTTTTGGACTTTAACAATTTAACGAGCTTGAAGGCTGCAAGTAGGGAACATATTTAAGCTGAGAAAATATTAACACATACATTTAGTTGGTGGTTTATTTTAATTTCTTGAGTAATTACAGTTACGAAAAAGTTCCTGAACTCCTTTGGTATTCCTGGAATATATATTTCGCACAGGTTACTCACATTTACTGAGGAATTATGATATTTTTACTATCCAATTTTCTTTAGATGCGGTGTTTTCTTGAAATGTAGTTAGGAAGAGGGTATAATTGATTTCTGAGAATTTTCATGATGGTATTATCCAATTTATTTTCTTATTTTTATTTATTGAATTACCTCACTCCTCACATTGTTAGAGAATCAGTAAAATACAGTAAATTCTCTTTAGACCGAAGTCGTTTAACACGAATTTCGCTGTAACACGAACAAAATGCCGGTCCCGGAAAGATAGTACGGAAATATGGACATTCATAATTCCCTGATTCCACAAATCTTTATATATTATTATTATCCGATTATTTCTTTTCCTTGGAATTCGTGTTAATGAGGGTTTACTGTATATAAACATATACTACATGAAATAAACCTGAGTTGCTTGCTTCTATTGTTGGGGGAAGACGTACTTCAGATATTGTTTTTACCTCTTTATGTTTAATTCGCATGTTTTTTATTACAAAGAAGTATTGCATAATCGTTCAATGCATATGGTATATTGAACGATTAATTTTCCTTTAGGTGTTTTTAATAAACAAAAACTGCTTACATTAAGCCCACCCTTGGGCACCTTGGTCCACAAAATACATAACAAGAAAAGTGTCAAATGAAAATTGAATAGAAAACGAATTATTATTATTATTTTGAATACAAAATTTGGTAAAATTCAAATGAAATCAATTTTGAACAGCAAAATACAATTTCCATGGAAGTCGATTGAGCCGCTTGTGTCATTCGAGTGCGTCAACTACTGTGGGAATTGTGCTGCAGGTTATATCTCGAGAGGTGGCGGTGTTCCATACTGGAACATGAGATTCAGCTAGTCGGTTGGTGTATGCTCCGCCCATAGCTCTGATGTCTCCGGTGGTGTAAGTAGCTCCGGTGGGGTAACGGTTAGCGCATCGAACAATTATCTTCAAGTTCGCGATTCAAACCCAAATAAACCTAAAATATCCCTAGTACTCCTTCCTTTGGACGGGAAGTAAAGCCGGGTGTCCCATGTTGTAGATTTACTGCACTGTAAAATACCTTCAAGCCTAAATGAAGCCTATTAGAAACTTCTAAATCTCCTATTTCATCGCCCAAGTAATGCCTTCTTTCTCTAGGTGGTAAAAGGAGCGTACCGGAAATTTCAGGCTCTGGCCCGAGACTCGTCACGGAAAATAAGGCATCGTTGATAGATTCATTCATTCATTCAGCGATACAGCCTGCACGTCGGTTTGCGTGATTTTCCTTCCCAAAGTATCTCTCCCAGTGAAGAGCCGTTCCAACTGGGAGAAGTATGAAGATCCCGACATGTGTGGTTGTATAGGACCCGTAAGTGTGTGTGTGTGTGTGTGTGTGTAGAAAGGAGACATGAGTCAGGAAGGAAATATAGCGCGCGGTTCTTGACTCGTTTGTTAAGGTAGAGGTGTGGCATTCGTCTGGAATCGATGGAAGAACTATCGATTTAAGCAGCTGTCAGCTAGATTTCTCCACTACTGGTTGAATTCGAATTCACCTTTTACCTAGAGTGAAACATCTACCACCTTTCGAACACAAACCCTAGACCCTAATCGATGCGGCAGTATATACAGAATTTACTTTCATTAGGTGGAACGTAGTTCTATTTTCTCCCAAGAAACTCTGCATCGCTCATCAACTACAAGTTAGTTTGTATCTCGACTGGCAAGTCAACAAGTTACAGAAATTGGTTTTAAACTATCTCAATAGGTGAAGCCTAAATCATTGTAAGGTCCAAGGTACTCGTCATAGGTACGACACCGTCCCCATATAAATTATATGTTTCGTAATCCATATATCTCATGCGGTCTTCTTTTTGCGATTATTCTTCGATAAAGACATTTTAAACCACAGATTCTATTGAGCAACATCCGTAAATATTATATATTGCACTAAATTACACAATACTCACATGTAATAGGTACAACAACTTCTCCATATAAATTAAATATTTTGTAATTCTTATATATCATACGGTATCCTTTTTTGTTATTATTCTTCTGTTAAGACATTTTTTAACCACAGGTCGTATTGAGCAACATCCGTGAATATTATATATTGTTTTAAATTACACAAAACGTTGCGAGATTTATCCAGAAGCGAAGTGCTGGTTAATCCTCTCAAATACCATCTAAATTCACTGTCATCCTTCACTCTTAGTATCAGTCCATTTCCACTGTCTCCATTGCATGGTCCTGAATCTGTGGACAGACACAAGAAATAGATAAAAATGCTGAATATGTTATTGAAATATTGAGTCTTGTAATAATTTGATTCACATGCTACTGTATCTGTTTGATGACTAATAATTAAGGTGACCATGTTTTGAAATCATAAAAACGGGACCTTTTAGTTTCTGTCACAACGATAAAAGGAAAAAAAATAGGATGTTACATACTATTTTATCAGAAATACTTGGGTATGAAAAATTAAAATTAAATAAATGAAAACATTCACTAATAGGTATAACTTTAAACAAAAAAGAGACATTTTTAGCGTCCCGTTATCCTGACAAAAATAAGGGACAGAGACTCTAACCAAGGGACTGTCCTGGCTAATAAGGGACGTCTGGCCACCTTATTAATAATCCTGATTGAATTTTTACTACATTATTATTTGTCTTGCCAATTATTAGTCATATGGAAGTCGTTCAACAAATCTGCACAAAAAATCGTCATATATTCGCCCTCCTTTTTTCATACAATTTCATGACTTACATTCTATTCGGAATTCCGGGTGAGAGAAAAAATGCATAAACGTCAAACTCCAAAAATGTCACGAATCTTCTCGGTCTTGCGTTGAATTAAAACATTTATGCGATCAACTATATTGGAAGATCGCCTCAACAGAACTGCCATTTTTCATGTTTATAGCGACACGACCGCCAAAATGGACTTGCAAAAGCTGTTAAATGAGTTTCTATCGAAAAATGCAAAGCGCAGCCCTGTTTTTGTATTGCAAAAACGAAGTGTGCTGAATTTACGTAAATTAAATGTGATAACTCTTTAATAATAAATATGACGATTTGAAAATTGTTTCGTTTTTTTTCCTTCACGAAGATTTCAGCAGGCCGATGAGGGCGACACCCATCCGTGTCAACCACCCGCTCGGACTCAGCGCCAATCGCCGGCCTGCTAAACCCGGGAGCAGAGCGCGCGTGGAATCTGTGGCCCCCGCTGTCGTCACCGGTCTACATGCCGTCGGGCACTCCACACTCCAAGTGGTTCAGCACTGTAGTAATCATATTATTTTGAAGTTATTTTAAACCAAACTGTACATTGATTTAAAATAATTAATTCTACTTTATTTATAATAAATATTCATGTGGACTAATATAAAAAATTTCAATATTCCCTATACTTTATTTTAATAGTAGTATGGCCAATAATTTTAAATCAATGCACATTTTAGTTTAAAATAGCTTCAAAATAATATGATTACTACTTGGTACAACGTATCCTCAATGTGAAAATGAAGCTCTTTTTGTGCGTAAGTTTACAGTTTAAAAAAAAATACTTCCGAGTTAAATATTAAAGTTGAAATTTTTACTGAAGTTTGGAATTACAGCAAACTAGCATGTGTGCAATTTTCAGATTTTTGTCTGGTCCCCCAGGAGATATTACAGTTGAAAATTTAGAAAAAATCCAAAGTTTTTCTTGAAAAGATGTAATTTTCAAGTGGTATATTATTTACAAATGATATTGTACAAAAAGTAACTAAACTGATATGTGCAAAAGCATAAAAACAATTAAGACTGTGATTATATTCCTTCATTGAGAAATTACTCTCTGAAAATCGAATTTCGTTCATTCGCGTTTCATAGATTTGGTTGTAAATATTTCCCAAACAAAAACATAGAAGAGTAAATAATATTCCTGTTTGTGGACCAGAGTTCAATATTGAATCCAATGATGTTTATTCTAGAATGCTAAAACAATCCAGAACTGAGTAATTTAGAAAAAATATATGCCTACAAATGCGAAAATTGACGCACGCCCTTCATGAAATGTTTCTCAAAGATAGCTTTTAAAATAAGATCATGCCCAGATATGTGAGTCCTTTTTGTGAAGGTTCGGGCGAGAAGGAGCGCGCTGTTTTAGCACCGAGGGAAAGGGATTTGCAGGCCTCACCGTCCCTTGCGCCGGCGCAAAGCGTCCGCTGCGACGTGAGGAATCGGAAGCGGGGGTCGCTCTGGCGGCACTCCTCCTGCGACACGACAGGCAGCTCGACGACTTGCGGCTCGTCCGTGGGCGTCTCCCTCAGCTCGCTCCGCCCCCAGCCAACCACCTGCGGCGAAGCAAGCACTTGCTTTCAGTGCGAGTCTCGTGTGCTATTAGGAAGGGATCTATGAGGTGGATTTGCCAGGTATCCACTATTTCAGCGGACATCCCGTTTTTTCACATTATCTACACTATTTTTTCACACAAAATAGAGGAAATTTTTTTAAAATTCGAAAGCTTTGTGATGAAATGGTACGTAATCTAAAGCTGTAAAGTGTAAGAGAATAAGGATATGAAAATCGTTTGAGAAGTCTTTGTAAGAAAATATATGGTTTAATTGTAATTTTTTACAATTTTGTTACTGCTTCCCCTCTCCCCCTTGTCCGCTATGTTTTAAAAACAGACCTGGCAACCCAAGATTTTAATTTATAAAGAGTTCATAATACCAGAAATGTACGCATGTATCACCCACACACGTGTGTTCAATTGCGGCTTTTATGAGTGTGATTAACATTGAAAACACACATTAAATAACAAAATTGATTAAAAAGTTTAATTTATAAAACTCATTAAGTTCCGAATTATGACAATTAACATACATTTTTAATATATAGTTTTATAAAACGTTTTAACCCCGCCCGTAACTGTTGCAGTTTGTACTAAACTGCCCCAGACATCCGGTTATGGGAGTGGGATAGGTTTGCCAACAATGTTCGTGTAAAAGAGAGAACACTCGATAAGCAAAAAACGCATTAACACATTTCTTTTTTAACAATATTTAATTTACACCTACATCAGCTCTATTTCTTTCTTCTCTCCATTTACGATTCAAATCATTAAGTTTCTTCACAAAATACAGATGAAAATGGTCTGAGCGTCTTTTTTTAGTCGCTGGACAGAGACACTATCATACAAGCAGCATTCATTGTCAGCATTCAGAAAAAAATATTTTCATGTTTTCTATTCAAAAAATGAAACAATAAACGATTCAACATAGCCCATGCTAGTCACGTGATAAAATAAATGATAACAAATGTTAAAAATTTACTAAAAGGAGGACATTTAAAATACAAAGGAGGGTGAGAGGACAATTCACGATCCTGTCACTCTCGATCCCAAGCCAGGGTAAAGGAGGAGGGTGCCTAGTGTGACATTGCTTCCACTAACTTGTAGACTTCTTGTGGTTTCGATCCCGATGCATTTGGTTGCGAGGGCTAGGGAGTCATTCACTTTGGCTACTTCTCTTTGCTTACATTTCGGTCTTCTTTCTTACTCCTTTACTTCTCAGCTTCTGAAATTTTCCCTCTTGTTGTTCTCAGGGGGTAGGCAGTGCTCTTAGCCTAGAGGCGGTCAATCAGAAGTTGTGCCCGAAAACTGTGTGTTGGCAGCCCCACAATCGACCTCTACCTGCGCTGCACTCGGATCGCGGCCAGGGGGTGTACTAAATTACTGAATCTCTCCAGGGAGTACTACGATAGATAGTTCGCGCATCCCTCTTCAAAGGTTTGGGCACAGACCCCAAAACAGGATAAATGTAGGACGTCCACGACTGCGTTGGAATTACCAAATTAAACTCCTGGAGAGGGAACAGGCCTAATCCATGTTATATATGAGGATGGTAAAATATTTTACAAACATTTTACTTTAAAATCGTGATATTTCGTACAAAAATATGCTTGTGTTAAGATTCATTTGTTGTACGTAAAATGGATATAATGAAAGTTGGTTAATCTGATATATTATATGCATTTCAAAATGATGTTCCAACCTTACTTTGATTATTTCATTAGATGAGTCAAAATACAATTCTTTATATACACGTAACCTAGCATCATTTTTGCACTCAATATTCTAAGACGGACATATCTAACGTCTAACAATCTATATCTACGTAAGATTGTTTCACGTATATGTGTTATTCTCATTTAACAACACATGAGGAGAACATTTGCTAACCTGATAGGAGGAGAAAATTTTTATAAAATTGGAGCGGTTTTTGAGAATTTGTTTTAGAAATCACATAAATTGTCGACAAATTACGTGAAATAACGTCATTTAACAAAGTTGTACATGATATTTAAAGAGATGATTTCTCGCTTTGTTTAAAGTAAAAATCGCTATCTCCAATCTTGGTGTTTTGAAATGTTAACTTCTTGTAATTTTCGAAAAAAACGTAACGACAGCCGAAAATGGGTCTAGCACAATATTTTACCCGTCACCCATAACATATGAATAAAAAATTTAAAGAAAAATGTTGAACCGTTAATGAGAAAATATTGTTAATAACATTTTTAACTTGCCTATCGCAAAATTACACGAAACCTTGTCATGTTTTCGAAAAAATTGAACATGAACTTATTTGAAGATCTGCCTTAACGAATCATTTCATTAAAGAAAAATATTCCGTCCCCAGAAACTTGCACTTTTGCAACTTTAAAAAAATCTTGGTTGTCACCGTATACCAAACCTACACCATTCTCTTAAGAGCCCTTTACTCTATTTGAGGACAAAGTTTAATAAACAAATTTGGCGCCATTTTTGAGAAAATTTAAAAATAATTTTGAGACTTCATGAAAATAAGCGTCCAAAATCAAAATATCTGTTTGAAACTCCAAAGCCTCGAGTTCGTTTAGACCGATAGGGGAATAACAATTTTGTACAAAATCGTCTGAAAGTTTTTGGCGCTAGCGTTGACCACAGACGGGCGGACAGACACCGGCAATGGATATTTCGGTACCAAGGATTCACACAACATAGTTTCTGTATACATCACGTGTTAGTGGATTTTTTTCTATATTTGACAATTGAATTTATCCAGTTTTACGTAACCAGGGCCCGACAATGAGTTTTTCTGCCGAAAATTCACCTTTTTCACGCTGCATCATTACATAACTTTCTCTTCTTACGAAGTACCTTCGTAAAGTCAAGAAAGTGTTAAAGAATAATTGTACAAATAAACTTACACCCAATCTTATAAAATGACGATAATCTGAAAGAAAGGTTGCTAGCAGTTCTCCATTCAGGGGCGCGACGTGCCACGTGCCTTGCACCCCACGTGCCGGTGCTCGCGACGAAGGGCGTGCCAGAGGAGCGAGCCGACTCCTCTGGGCGAGCGAAGGGCGGAGCACCCTCGGGATTTCTTAATCCTCCCTAATCGCGCGGGCGCCCGGGCTCCTACCGCCCCTCCGAAGAAATAATCCCCACCCACGCGTACACTACCAGCTCTAAGAGACATCCACAACGCGACTATCTACGAGTGATAAGTATTGTGAAGGTTTTCTCTTATTTGCCAGACTGTATTGTTCGGTACGTCGTTTTGCAGAGTAATATGTTCTTTCTCAAACAGGAATCGGCTTTGATAATGAATCAACTGTAAGCTAGCTAATATTACTTACTGTTTAGGTAGTATAGTGTATTGCTCCTCTCATTTTTGGCAAACACTGCTTTTCGAAAATTTCAAACAACAACAAAAAAATTAAGATGGTAAACATACAATATTGATTATAGACATTTTGGTGAAATGTAATCCGTTCTAATAAAATCAGATCATTAATAAATGCCGTGTACTTTTTTAAATATGTGTTAATTAGCGTAATTGTGCAAATTTTGGAATTAGAATTGCAGCAGAAAATGGCGATATTTCGACAGAAAAACTCTCAATTGTGGATAGCTGAAACATTAACTAGTGGTACTAAAACTTTTCGGCTTTACTAACGGTTAAGTAATACTATTATCATGGATTTCAGTCCATTTTAACACATCTCAGTTGTTATTTGTAAAATTCATTATAAATGGTAGAACATCAGGTGCGAAAAATCATTCTTTATAGCTAATATAAAAACACGAAATCGACAATTAAAACCGCGTTTCGTACTGTGAGAAGTGTCACAGAAGTATTCTAACTGGGAGCAATGAGAAGGAATTCGCACAATTTTGTAACTGCCGAGTAGTCACGCGGTGTGCGTCGTGGCTGAAATCCAATCTGATATCTTCTGAGGTTGGTTAATGAAGCGCGGGAAATTTGAATTAGCAAATTCGAAAATTTTTTTGTGGTAGTTTGAAATTTTCAAAATAGTGTTTGCCAAAAATGGAACAAGAACCAAGAATTTCAATTTTTAAACTGATATAATTAAATGATATATTTTTTCTCTATGTCCTCATTGTTTAAAAATCTGAAGAAACTTAGTGTTCAATAATGTTATAAGACACATTCGACGAAAAAACCTGAGACAGAACTCCAACGTTGTCATGTCGAAAATTAATTTCAAAGATTTATTTTTTCTATTTGAATTTGGTGCCAAAATTGATTGACAAAAATATCTTAAAATGTAACTAGTTTTTCCCGTCTCTGCAGCTTTTTTGAGCCTGATACATGCATTAAAAGCTGAGAAATAATAAAACATAAAAAAACGCGTTTCTCATTGTATCTCTACAACTAGGCTCTAGGAGGCTGTTTTTTTGGAAATCGATGGCATTTTTTATTCATATGAATCTCGCGCTTATGGATTTTGTTTGGTGTCACTTTCTTGTAATGTACTGGTATGCACCGTTACACGCAGTGCCCAAAGTCAAAAAATTCGTTGCCAGAATGTTGTAATTGTAAAGAAAATTACATGGGAAATTATAGAGGTTGCCCGTTTTATAAAAATGCTTTGGATTCTCATCGGAAAGCCAATGTTATATCTAATCAACCAATAAAAAATGTCTTCAATTACTAATGAAAAGTAAAGCCAACCGTCACAACCTTTTATTAATTATTGTACACTCCCTACGAGAAATTCATCTAACTCCAATATACTATCATAATCTTAAGTTTTATCAGATTTAATTACAGACATACTATCTAAAGTATTAAATGCTATTGTTCCAAAAATTCATCTTATTACTTATTACTTGCTAGGTAATCTGAAATGGCAAGTAAAAATAAAGAATTGGAATTTCTTCACTGGAACACAAACGGAATCTTAGCAAAGTAAACTGAATAAATTTCCAACCTAAAGCCTATCTTCACTGCAATAATGAAAAAAAAGATTAGTAATTTACTGCGAATTGTCTCCTGGAATGCCAACAGAACACTCGAACATCGCAGAGAGTACTAAAGGAGAAAGTGTTTCTACATCAAGAAAACATTGGCATACTTTTAGTGTCCGAATCACATTCTACACAAAGAAGCTATCTGCGAATACCTAATTATGACATATTGCACAAATCATCCAGATGGGACAGTTCATGGCGGCACAGCAGTAATAATTAAAACAATAACCAGACATAATATTTACGAAGATAATGCTGAAAACTATCTGCAAGCAATCACGATTCAAGTATATAAGTTTGGGCCGCTCGTTATTTCAGCTATATACTCCCCTCCAAAATACAAGTTAACGACTGATCAGTGTATCAAGTCTTTCAGAACACTAGGCCCGAGGTTCATTACTGGAGGAGACTACAATGCAAAAACTCAACTCTGGGGAACACGACTGGTAACCACAAGAGGTCGCGCTTTAGAAGGAGCCATCTCAACAATTTTATCAGGAAATCCCACATACTGGCCAACAGATGGTAACAAAGTACCTGGTGTCTTGGATATCCTCATTAAAATGTAAAAAGCACAGATCTATCACACAATAGAGTCGTCTTTTGATCTCTCATCTGATAATTCTCCAGAAATACAGACAGTCAGTTCTTCTAAAATCAAAAAGAAAGAATATATATATCTTACGAACAAAAAAGAACTTCGAAGAATGCAGCAACTGGCTTAACTACAAAGAAGAAGACTGAAAAGAGTACATCTTCATGATGTAGACCACAGATATACACATTTAAATTTTATAATACTTGTTGCTGTAGATAATACTATTTTCATTTTTTGTCACAGTGATTGTATTTTATGTATGTTTGTTTTTGTGATATTGCTATTTCAATGTGACGTTTTTTGTTGTTGCCTTATTTTTCTGTTTTGAAAAATTGTTTGAAAACTAATTTTTAGAAAGAACCAGAATTGGATGGTTTCTTTACAAGTCAATAATGTGTGTACAATTGTATTTACCGAATGTTCGAGTAGAACAAATTGCAAATAAACAGATGTTATAAAAATAGCAACTGGATTTAACCACTTCTTTGTTACCAGAGCCCTGTAATGAGAGTTTTTCTGCCGAAAATTAGCCGTTTTTTTGCGCAGCATCACATTGCTTTCTCTTCTTAAGAAGTTCCTTCTGAAGCACGAGAAAGTAAAAGTACGTGACTTGGAATTGAGTAAAGGTGTAATATCCTTGGTTTTTCATAAAGAACGGCTGTTTACGACAAATACTAGACCTTCTAAATATCAGACCAAAGAGGTGACTCAGGGCATCAATTGATGTTACTGCAGTGCCTATGAACGGGAGGTCCTAGGTTCGAGTCCCGACGGTTGCAGACTATCAGCTAGGTCGAATGCAGTCCCTGTCTGCAGGAGAATTCTAGAGGCCGGCTGCTCTAATCGGTAGCTTTCCGTGATTTCCAACACCAGGCGAATGCCGGAGCAGTACTCTTAAAAAGGGGCACCGACCGCGCATGATCTTTCCTTCCTCTTCCTTGTTTTATCCTCACCCCTTACTTACACACTTCTACTCTTATATGCACTACACTACCACATATGCAGAGAGACCGGTCGGGAGCTTAGATCTTGTGCCGGCTGGGGCGGTGCCCCGCTGGTGGGAGATACCTGGTTGGGGAAACCTCCGCTAGACGACGGCTGGTCGGTGCCGGATCTCGCTACACAACTGGGAAGATCTCTGCCACCTCGAGAGGAAAACCTGCACTACACTTTCAGACTAATGACCTTCGCAGTTGACGCGCCCGGAATCACTGACAATCGATCAATTAATGTGGGCACCAGGGCCACGTGGGCGGGGACCGCGGAAAGTGGTTTCAGACGATCCTCTCTCTAATCACTATACTCACGGTTCCTTTCTTGCCCACTATATCTCTGGAGTCTGTTGTCCACTTCCAAAGGCAGATCGGTCGCACATGCGGTGTGTATTCAGCCGGCGACTTCAGTCGTAGAATAGCAATGTCTGCATCCGAGTATGTTCCGTATTTGAAATCTGGATGAACAATAATTCTCTCCACCTGCGAAATTAAGAACAGTAATTTACTCGTAACTAATTTTGTTTTTGTTTTCGTGTATCGATTTCCACATTGTATCAATAAGTAGAATAGGTTGTAAATTAAGTTGTCATACAGTTTGTATTTTTTTATGAACTACATATTTTCCTATGAAACAGATTCACATAAACCTTTTTAAGTTGAACGTTGGGATCATCTTTTTTGCGTAAGTCGAATATTCCGAGATACGCATCCAGAGTATTTGCGTTGAGAGTTTGAGAGTTTTCCAGCATGAAACAGTGACCAGCTGAAAGTTACAATAGAATTAATGAATTAAAATTATTATTTTTTAATCTATCAATAGATTTTTAAACTTTTGTTTCTGTATTTGTTAATTTATTTTAAAGGCAGAACATAGTTTAATGATAACTGTTTACATAAAAATATAAAATGAATGCAATATATTATATTTGATACATAATAGCAATAGCAACGTTACAGAAAATAATTATTTCCATCTTCTATATTTATTTGTTTTGAATTTTTGCCTGAAGATGGAGATAATTTTTTTTCGAAATTATATTTCTGCAATTATATGGCATTTTTATGCAAACAGTTATCATTAAACAATGTTGTCTCTAAATTATAATGCTCAAATACATTGAAAAAATAATTAATGAATATGTGTATTATGTTATCGAGCACTGTTTTTACCTGACACAATATGCAATTTGCTGATCAGATTTCCCCCGCATATAAATACAGAATCTTGGTCATTTTGCTGCTTCCTTAGAAATATGGCTGTTATCCATGGCCAGTCTCCTTGGTTGGTTTTCAGCCCATTCACAATCAACGTGTTGGGCTTGTTTACAGTCTTTCCGCATACATCTGAAGTTTGTACATCATTCAACGCAAAAATGCAATTAGTAATATTATACGATGTTGCATTTTTCACAAAAATTCAAAGTGAAAAACCGAACTTAAGAACTCTAATGATATTTGGTTACTTTACAGCATGTTTCTTTTCGGATGAACTGAATGATGAAATTTATCTTCGTTTCTTTTGGTGGTTGTTTGAGAGCAATTTAAGAGATAAATGGGTATGATGTTTGGTTTTTGAATTTTTGTCAACGAACAATATGTCAAAACGTAAGGTCAGTGCTTTGATTGGTGATTTAAACATCAGAACACTAAATCAATCTTTGTAGATACTTTTACGATGTGTTTGATGCAGGATTTACACCAATGTTTTTCTGTTTTTTAATGAACTTTTAAATTAATGATTTTACTCAAAGACTTGGGTCAGATTCATCATTTTTCTGTAGTTTTAATAATACAAATGTATCTTGTCTTTGGCGACCACTTTCAGCAATTTTACTTCTTATGAATATTCTACTTTCGAATATAAAAAGGGCGGGTAATTGTTTAAGTTTTGTAAAACTGAACAGTTTAAATTTTATATTCATTTTCACCGCATTTAATGATTCAAAGAATCAATAGTTTAAAATACACTATGGATTCTACCCAAAGCGTTTAACATGTTTTATGAAACTTCTATTAATATTAATAATTATTAATCTTCTATATAATATAGGTAAATCACATTTAAAAAGAACGAATACGCTTAGCTTACCAGATGATTTCACGTAATTTTCTGATGACTTTGCGATTTCAGAGGCAGTGGTCTGTGGGGTAGTAATGCGCGTCGTCACCAATTGAAAGAATGGGTTATTTGGATATATTTTTTGTAGGTCTTGTGCCGACTCAATGTTGATATTTTGTATAAATCTTTGATTAAACTCCGTACTCATGCCTCTACTCATTAGAAAGAACATTGTCGCACAAACGTACCACATCTCCGTCCTGCCAAACACAAAAGAACTCAGATGGGACACATTCGTATACTTGAATGAATACAACGATCTGAAAAATCGTTTGGGGTTTGATTAATTTTTTTTGTCAATTGGTTTTAGGATATTCAACTTAGTAAATGTTATTTGAAGTGTAAGGTGGGATGTTACAAGTTGAATAAATTGCGAAATATTCGGTTATATGTATACATATGCCTATTTATAGGTAAATACACTTTTAGGAAATATACTTTTTTGTAACTGTATTTGATATTTATTTCAAAAATAAAAAAAAGGAATATAATGTGCTGTGGAGCAACCAGAATTATTCTAGGTGGGGACTTAAGTGTAGTGTCCAACTGACCTAATGTTTCCTTAGAAGGAAGTTTTCAGTTACTTCTGAGTCTAAAATTCGAAGGCATGCATCATTCAAGTGAAATACTGTAGGACTGGTATAGAAAATAAATAACTAGTGGTGCTATAACAGATGTACTTTCTCAATAATATTATTAAATTCAATACTATTACAGAACACACTTGAGTGAATATTCATAATTTCATTACAGTGTATTACCATTGCTTCAGTAACATGAACATCAGTAAAGTTAGACCTTCCAGTTACATTATTTCGTTCTGACTCTTACATACAAGTAATTATACCCTTTAAAATTAACGAGTGGTGCGAAAACAGCAAGTACTTTCTCGCCCGTGTTTTCACGCAAAGTTACGCGAAATGCATTCAATTTTTGGAAACATTGTACATGATCTTATGTTAAAATCTGCCTTTAAGAAAAAGATTACGTTAAGGGGAAAAAACTTTATCCTTAGTAGTTTAGTTGTAGGAAGACTCCGAAAAAATGTGAACTTTGGAATTTTCAAAAAACCAGGATTTTCAAAAAAAATGAGACCTACGACATTACCTTCAACGTCCTTTACACTATTCAACAACAAAATTAAATAAAAAACGATGGAGCCATTTTTTTTTAATTTGGAAAATGTCCCTGGGGCGTCATGGAAAGTACCCGCCAAAATTAAAATGTCGCTCTCAAATTCAAGGATCCGCGACATTAGCCTGATTGATTCGGGAACATCAATTCTGGAGAAAATCTGCTAAACGGTGTATATAGTATTTTCCACAGACGGACAGGACGGCCGGACGGCCAGACAGACGTTTTGCTGTCATTCGATTTTTCGGTGTCAAGGATCCACAAAACATGAATTTCGGCTATACCACGTGTTAGAGGATTTTTTCAAATACATTTAGCAAATGGATTTGTCCACTTTTTTCATTACCAGGGCTCTGTAATAAGAGTTTTGCTGGCGAAAATTCGCCGTTTTTTCGTGCAGCATTAAATATGTTCTCCCTATTCCGCAGCGAGAAAGTAAAAATATTGAAATTGGAATTCTCGTTGGCAGACAAGAACGGAAATAATTTCAGGCCGGCTCGAGCCGCCGAGGCGAACATTTCGTTGAGTCAGCTCTTATCTTCTCTTATCGCAGTTCACATCACAGTGGTCTCTTTGCTAGTGTCAAGAGTGGCTAGTGCAGTGAAACATCTAACGAATAGTATATTTTCTTTACAAAGTGCTAAATATAAAAAACTCAATAAGTGCGAGCAGTTCGTGTTTAAAAGTTTATGATCTGGTCTCGGCCAGAGCATTATCCAGTGAACTACCAGTGATTCACGCGCATTGACTACAGCCCTCCACGCTATCACAGTGTTCATGGATCCAAGTACAGACTCAACAGCGGAAGCAATTAAAAATGCCCTAGACGCGTTAAATAATACAAACAGTGGTGTAAATTCAAACATTGAAATGACCGAGTGCAATACAGTCACCCAACAGCAATCAGATCTTGAAACTCAACAAAACCGCCAACTTCAGGCAGAGCAACAATGGAAAATGATGCAAGACCAACAAAAACAGTTGCTGCAATACCTTCACGAGCAACGCATAACTAAGCTGCAACAACAACAGAATTCTCAACAGGGTCCGCAGCTTCAGCAATCTTCACAATTGCAGCTAAGCAGCCAACAACCTCAACAAAATGTAAGTAAAGAACTCAATATTTTGGAAAAGAACTCTGCTAAAAGACAAAGAACTTATGATTCTCATGATAAGTATAGCGTACCAGTTTCTAATAGATATGAAATATTTACAGAAGATGAAACTGCAAATGAACCAGTCAATACTACCCCACTAGTGAAAATCCTTCCCATATATGTACTAGGTAAAAACTACAAAATAATATTAGATGATATCAAATCAGTAACCAAAAACGATTTTTGCACTAGAACATGTCAGAATGGAATCAAGGTTTTCTTCACCGATGTAGAAGGACTTAAGAACCTATAAGAAATTTTGTGAAGGTAAATCAGTGCCGTTTTATAGGTACAGGGACCCTTCGATGAAAATATTTTCAGTTATGCTTAAGGGAATACCAGAATCTCTTACAGAAAGTGAAATATTCGAAGAATTCAAACGGCTCAATTACCCAGTAATTAAAATATGTAGGTTATAGCAAATAAGCAAAGACAGTCACTACAAACTTGTACCATGGACTTAACAGAGACTGAAGAAGCAAAATCTATATACAATGTAAACAACTTCATGAACTGTATAATTCAAATTCAACTTAGAATCAAACGTAATGCACCTGTACAATGCAAAAATCGTCAAACATTCGGTCATTCTCAAGCTAATTGTCATGTTAAGCCCAGGTGTGTTCGCTGTGATGGTCACCATCACTATTCAAAATGTACTGATCCTAAAAATTCCAAACCGATTTGTGTTAATTGCGGCGAGGGTCACACATCAAATTACCGTGTATACCAAGAAGCTCGTAGGTCACGGGCAGATTTCCTTTCAGCGAAAAACTCTTAACAAATCGCATCAGGTAACCGAAACACAAGGGCAATCTTCTATTAATTTAAACAATAAAAACTTTCCCGGTCTCCCACAACGCAAATTAACAGCCTGGCAAACAGAACGACTACCTTCAAACCCACAGCCTCAAATAGACATAACTCGTAAATACAATAGTAAATCAAATAATTTCAGCTATAATACCCCAAATCAAAAACAGTACAGTCGTTAATGCCAGTTCTTCAAAATGGCAAATAAAATAAAAATATTAAATTGGAACGCTAATGGTATTAAATGACAGCAGATAATAGTTGAACAATTTTTGCATCACCACAAAATATATATTGCGTGTGTTACAGAAACACAGTATTAAATGAAAAATTTAAAATACCAGATTACAAAATATATAGAAACGATAGAACCTCAGAAGTAGCTTCAGGAGGTGTAGCCATACTAGTATCTAACAACTTTAAGCATTAAGCGATTCACAGTCCAAACACCTCAGAACTCGAAACAATAGCAATAAAAATAAATATAGGTAGCAATAATTACAAAATAGTTGCGGCATATAAACCACCAAATACAAAATTCCCATTAAGACCTTATAACCAAAATTTTAAAAACAATACCAATAGTATTCTATTAGCTGGCGATTTAAACAGTAAAAATCAAATATGGGGATGCAATACCACTTCCAACCACGGTACAAAATTATTTACCTACGCAGTATCCAAGGATATTCATATTCTGGCCCCCCAATCTCCAACACACTATTCATATAACAGTAATGTGATTCCGGATATACTAGATATAGTATTAACCAAAAATTTCAATTTGCCCTTGATTCAAAAAATATTGCCGGAATTAGACTCGGATCACTCCCCAGTAATTATCAAAATTAACTGCTCCAATTCACCGTTAGCTCAAATATTACAATATTACAATATTACATGTAAGAGTCAGAACGAAACCTTGGGACGAATTAATTGGAATAAGTTTAAGGAGCTAATAGACAACAATATAATATACTCTAGTAAAATTCACACCAACGACGAATTAGATATGCATGTGCTGCATATAACTCAATCGATACAGAAAACAATTGAACAGTCAACAACACAATGTTCAGCAAGTATTAAAACTAGAAAACCAGTTCCATTGAAAATAGTAAACCTAATCAAAACTAAACATAACCTTAGACGATATTGGCAAACAACCAGGAGACCAGACCTTAAAGTAAAATTGAATAAAATTTGCAGAATAATTAAATACAGACTAGAACAATTTCGTTATTCTGAATATCAGAATATAATAAAACAAATTCACCCCAATAGCAGACCAATGTGGATTACGATGAGTCGAATCACCAAAGAAAAAGCTGAAATCCCAATATTAAAAATCGATACTGAAATCGCGTACTCAGACAAAAACAAGGCTAATTTACTAGCCAAACATTTTCAGAAAACCTTCACTCCTAATCCAATTAATCACAACCAGTTCAACAATTACATTTTAATTGAATCAGCGAAACAAGTTGCAACTGTCCCAAGAAAAATCAAATTTATCTCACCTTCTGAAGTTAGAAAAAAAATTAATCAATTAAAATCTAGAAAGGCAACAGGATATGATAATATTAGCAGTATAGCCCTCAAAGCACTGACGACAAAGGCAATCGCGGCTTTAACCCCATTTTCAATTCGGCATTAAGATTAGGCCATTTTCCTAAAAATTGGAAAACTGCTATTATCCTTCCGTTCAACAAACCAGGGAAAGACCCCCAAAATCCATCCAATTATAGACCGATAAGTTTACTTCCAACTCTTGGCAAATTATTCGAGAAGCTAATATATACACGCATAAATAAATATGTTACAGAAATAAAGGCTATACCTAACACTCAATTCGGATTTAGAAATAAATACTCAACAACGCACCAACTCCTGAGTCTTTCAGAATTCATGGCTAATGCTTTTCCTCAACACAAACACACCTTACCAATATTTCTAGGCATTGAAAAGGCATTTGACAAAATGTAGCTCCCCGGATTACTATTTAAACTACAACGTCTGGGTTCACCAAACTACCTCTCTAAAATTATCGACAGATTTCTAGCAGATCGACATTTCCTGGTAAGAATCAATTCTACTTATTCTAATCAATGTCAACCTAGAGCCGGTGTCCCTCAAGGATCATGCCTATCACCTTTCAGCATATTCTTATCGGATATCCCAAAACCAGCTAACTCAGAAATCGCCCTCTTCGCTGACGATACCGCTTTATTCACAGCCCACGAGGATATAATATGTGCTTACGACAACCTTCAGAACGACTTAACAACATATATCACCTGGTCTGAACAGTGGAGAATCAAAATAAACTCGCACAAATCTCAAGCAAAAATCTTCACACTTCAAAGACCATTGACCCCTCCCCCCTTAAAATTCAAAATTCAATAATAAAATTGCTTCCCAAACAAACAGCAGTTAAATATTTAGAACTAATGTTTGATGCAAAATTAACTTGGAAAGACCAGATCAAAACAGTTGCAAACAAAACGTACGCAAAAATTGCTCAACTTTATCCTCTTCTAAACTCTAAATCAGCTTTAAGTATTGAATGTGGAACTACAGTTTATAAATCGATATTAAGACCAACAATCTCGTATGGTAGCCCAATTTGGTGTAATGCAGCAAAAACACACATCGAAAAACTACAAATCATTCAAAATAAATGTTTAAGAAAAATAACTAGAGCTCCCTGGTTTATTAGTAAAAAAACAACTTCACAGAGAATTACGAATTGAGTCAATACAAGAACACATCCTAAAATCCTCGAACAAGTTCTTTGCCACTCTTTCAGGATCTCCAGCCACGCCCAACTTCAAACTCGGCAAAAACTACCCAAAACCAAATAGAATATGCTCGCGATTTCCCAAGGATAAACTCAGACCTCTATAAATACTCAACGTCATTAATTCCCAACAGCTATTAATATAAAATAATAACATAGAACTATTTTCTTCAATGAATTATAAAAAATAAATTCACATCAAATCAGTTTTTTCAAAATTATACACTGAACACAGCCTGTAATATTTAGAACAATTAGCGTGAGAACAAATGTCAAAGTATTATTTTGTAAAATGTTAACAGCCCTGAATGGCAGAATGCCAAACAGGAGGATAATCTTATACGGAAGATTTTTTATTAAGCAACAATTCTTCAGACAATTCTTTATCCAAGCGATTAAATGTACACGGTGTGAGTTTTAGGCAACATAACGTCGCCGTAGTGTGAATACCGAGTACCACATAGGTCTATATTTTTTTGAATGTTATTCATTGCAGTTAAAGTTGTGTAAACTGTGTTGGTCAACTATATTCAATGGTAAATTTTGGTAAAATCCGTAGTTTGGAGGCGAGGATCGAAACTACACAGTTAATGTTCCGCCGATTAGAAAACCGTTCATTTTATTATAATTGCGATTTCATAAAATACCATTTTTTTGTGAACAAATCCACCTAAGATTATGCATTTTCCACTTATAATATGACACTACTTGTAAAGTGACTACTCAGTAAAGTACTTGTAAACAACTTTTTTTGCGCCCACTGTAAAGTTTGAGATATTTTACTTCTGTTATTTTCTCAATTGGTCAACGATATTCAAAATTATATTCAGGCAAAATTTCAGTAATTATCAAAGTGAACAAAGAGAAGTGTTTGGAAATTGTCCGGAGTTTCGGTCAACAAAAAAATCATTTTAAGTGCCTACGTTTCGGCTTTTATTCAGCCTTCATCAAGGCTATAGCATAGGGATTTTCTTTATTCACTAGGTTCAATAAATTGAATCTAATACTAGCGTATATCACAATTTTGAAGAGTAGTGTATAAATATTTTGTATAATCACCATTTTCACTCCAGATCTCTCGGAGCTATCCACATTCTAAAGACTCTTCCTTCTACATATTCCTTCCTGCAATTGCTGGCTTTCATTTCCACTAATTACTTTCACAAAACACACCACCTTGGCACCACAATCGCCTCATCATTACATGTCCTCTTCTACTGTCTAGTCTTCCGACTACGTCATATAATTTCCTTTTCATTAAAAACTATTGATATGTTTTCGGCGACTTTTTTAATATTTCAATTGCCAAAACAACCCCGAAAATACTACCCCAAACTCCTCACATACTATATGCAACTATGTTCATCTAAACAATTAAGCTACTAGGTACGAATTTGATTAATTATTCCAGTCAAAATTGTGTTAATATCCGGGCCACTTTGAAAAACATATACCCAATCATCCAACTCGGTATGCAGTGTTATATTATTTTGGACCTACATCACATTAGTTGCTACATTTTTAATGAAAATTAATATTAACAATATTATACACACACACACACACATATATATATATATATATATATATATATATATATATATATATGCACACATATTACACACATTCATTCAATCCATACAATTAATCGACGATGTCAAGAAACGCAGCTGGTGTTTGAATAACGCGAGCGTTGCTTGTTCACGTACCTTGTGTGTGTGAAGTAATATCAGCGCGCGCCTGTTTGCTCCGGGCGCCAGGGAATGCGCGGCGCGGCGCGGCCAGAGGCTGGCTACTTTCCTTTTCTTCGCTTTGGGACCGTGAGCGCGCGCTGATGTCACCCTCCCTCGGGCGATGGGGCTGGAGGATGCGTAAGCACAACTTTTCAAATCGAGATCCCAGAAGTTACGTAAGAGTTATCTTCATGTTTCTTGAGAAATTGTAATTGTAATTGTGTTTAAAAAAATATTTTTAAGGTAATCTGAAAGGTAAAGAGTCCACAAATAATGAAATGCATGAACATCGAACAGACATCAAGGAACATCCGTGTCAGCAGAATTCTGTTTCCAAACACACCCGATAGAATTTAACCATTCTTTTCATTTCGCAAACCCAACAATTGTTATGTTGAAATGCGTAAGTATCCGCGTCCGATCTCAGAAACTTGGCAAATTAAGATCAATGATTCAATTAATACTGTTATTGAAAGCAACCATTTCACCAAATTACATGTTTTTGTATTACATTGGTTTAAGAATTCCTTAAAAACTTTATTGACTTATCTGGCTTGTATTTACAATTTTCTCATCTCAGTTTTCGTGTAGTCTCTGCCCTCCCTGCCCCTTTACCTCAACTATTCTCCTCCTCTCCTTCGACTTAACATCTCGTTTCATATAAATGCGACGCAACCAATAACTTCCTGAGTCATTCCACCGCCCATGTGGCAGTTTGACAAAATTTCATATTAAGGGTCCTACTATTTTTGGTAAGTGCGATCTGTATATGTTAATTTCACTGTTTCACTTCACATTTCATGTTGAGAGATACATAGAGGAGAGATACATAGAGGAGAGATACATAGAGGAGAGATACATAGAGGAGAGATACATCTCTACTCTGTGCCTGACAGGGGAGGTAGCAACCTCGTTGCCCGGCGCTATCTATTGATCGATTTTTAAACTTACAATATTCCTTTCTCTTGATTTTCGTACAGGTCAGTGATATCTGCTGGTATTCTGTTTAACTGATCTCCTTTATCCCAAGCATTCAGTGCAGTAGTGTGCAATCGGCATGGTCGGCATCATGTTTCGGATCCGTAGACAAAACTATGTGAAAGTGTTCCGAACTTTGTCTCCATTTCGTGTTGTGCATTGAGATTGAGAATAGTTTCCAATTCTGTAAAATGCCTGAAAACAGTGAATCTTGATTGTGATAAAAGTCTGTGCATGAAGAGAATTGGACCACCTCGGCCTGATATCAAAATTATACAATCTGATAGAAATGGCAATCGTTCGGACATTTCAAAGGGTTAAAAATCCATATTAATTTTAGGGGGAATTTAGCCATGTGTTCTCTCTTTGATTGTTAAACGTTCCAACAATGTCAAGAAAATTTCCCCCTACAAAAGGTTGATCGCGTTTCACAGTAATCTCCGTTCGTGAGCTAGCAAACTGAAATCTGAGCTGGATGTGCTATATAAAAGAATCCGAGAGAGCTTTTTCACTTTGAAAATATTATAGACATTTTTAAGAAATACCATGTCGAAAGAGAGATTGAATGGACTTTGTATGTTTTCATTATAAAGAGTTTTATTACAAGACTCATTTAATTTTGAAGAATTAGTAATAGATTTACAGAATGTAAAAACAGAAGATTCCATTTAATTTATAGATCATGTGTTTAGCCTGTCTTTCGGGGAGATAATTCGATTGTAAATATTACTTATGTGACTTAGGGCCGGTTTCACCAAACAGAGTAAGAGTTTACTCTGGAGTTTACTCGAGAGTAACTTCTTGGAGCGTTTCACCAACACTTTACTCGAGTGTAAATCGCTTACACGAGAGTAAATTCGAGAGTAACTTTACACCGCAAAAATCCGTCGGGAAAAGTACGGAGTAAATTCAGTTTTCAACGTGCATGTACCTCCGAAGTGTTGTTACGGTTCGACGATTACGAATGATAGTATTTGAAGACGATTCCAGCAATGATTCGGAATACTATACACTAGTGCGAAGACAAAGGGTGCGAGAGAGAATGGATTGGTTTTAATTATGACGATCGAGAATTTGTCAGGAGGTTATGTTTGACCAAATCAGCTGTTTAACCTCATCAGATACATTGTAAACTGTAGAGAACTTCTAAAGTTCTTTTTCTCCCATGTGGATACGAAATAAAGGTAGTACGTACCGAATACGACAACAAAAGGAAAAATAATAACTACAGGAACTACAAGTACTAAGAAATATTCTTTTTTTATTCAGTAAAAACTGTATGTGACGTACAGGGGAGATCATTTGCCCACGTTTTCTTGAGTTCCAGAATCCCTTTCCAACATTTTAACTACAAATAGTTGAAAGGTGAATAAAAGTAAAAAAATAAATAAAAAATAATAATAATAATAATATTTAGAAAAACACAAGATCAGCAACATTTGAAAAACTAAACATTTTCGTTCCCTAGTTATAGAAAATTAATTTGCACCGCCATCGGTAAACGAACTGCAAATTTGATTTTTCTGCATTGCTAACAAAATAGTAACTCGACTCCAGAGAAGAAGAATGAATATTTATTAAGAAATAAAGATACAGAAACTAGGAAATAAACTATGCTCAAACCACAATAACCCCACACCAGATTATAACGCCAAGTACTCCGAAACTGAAATGAAATGTAGAATATAAGGAATTAATTAAATGTTCGCGTTGGTCCGCATTGGTTCCCAGCGTCATTCTCGCTCACAGCCTCTTGAATAAATCGGAGAGTATGTACTCTAGAGAAAAATAACCCTCTAGAAGCATGGTGAAACACTCATACTCTACTCGAGAGTTACTATCTTAGAGTAAATGGTTACTCTCCGGTACTCTCAACTTTACTCGGCTGTTGGGGCCCTTAAACAATCCAAGTATAACAATTTTTCAAATGCCTAATATTATTTGATCCTGAAACTTTGTGTGCCCTCCCTGTTGCCTAATCCCAGAGCCGCCATTGCATCTGTACCCAATATAAAGTAATACATTATATAAATACGTACGTATTTGAAAAAGTAACTAGTAGTGCTACAGAATGTCATAGACTCGTACTAGTTTGTTTTCTAATTTATTTGGTCTGAACTTGCTTTTCGATTTTGCCTGACCCTCATCTCAGCTGGCATTTATCACCGCCCAATGTACATATTTTTTCGCATTTTTTCAATTTTTCATCCCTTTAATGATAGAACTGATATATGACTTAAAGAATATTATAGAAGAGTGTAACTTCGTCTCATATGGAACATTTGGTTTGAAAACTTTGGAGCTGTTTTTGAGAAAATGTCGTTCAAAAGTTTCTGTAAATGCGAATTTTGAAGCTCTTTGTCACCGAAATATTTTGAGTTTTGGAGAAACTTCATTAAAAATCATTTAAGCCCTTTGACTTACTAATGACATAATTATACATATTACTTTTAATTTAAATATTAATGACGTGAGAGATGTTTAAAAAACATTTGTGTAATTTTTGAAAATATAAGAGAATAATGTATGGCAAACGCCGGTAATTTAATACTAACGACGTGAGAGAGATATTAAAAATATTTCGATTATGTATTTATGTACTTATTTTGTATTATAATTATGAACAGTGAAGGGCCAAAAAAGCTGGTAAAGCCATGCGTATTGAAATAAAGAGATCTGATGCAATGAGAAAACGGCGCTCCTGTCGGCAACGACTATAAAAGACAAGCAGAATCTGGCACAGATGCACGTAGGTTAAAGCTGCTACAGTGGCAGGTTATCACGACTTAAGTTAGTTTGAACGTTGTGTTATAGTCGGCGTGAGAGAGACAATAGCATCTCCAAGAGCAATGAAATTTGGATTTTCCCGTCTGACCATTTCACGAGTGTACCGTGAATAACGCGAATCCGGTAAAACATCAAACCTCCGGCATCGCTGCGGCCGCAAAAAGATCGTGCAAGAACGGGACGAACGACGACTGAGGATAATCATTACACGTGACAGAAGGACAACACTTTCGCAAATTGCTGCAGATTTCAATGCTGGGCCATCAACAAGTGTCCGCGCGCGAACCATTCAACGAGACATTGATATGGGGTTTCGGAGCAGAAGGCCCACTCGTATACCCTTGATGATTGCACGACACAAAGCTTTACGCCTCGCCTGGGCCCGTCAACACCGACATTGGACTGTTGATGACTGGAAACACGTTGCCTGGTCTGACGAGACTTGTTTTATTTGTTTTCGAGAGGATACGAGTGTGTACGAGTGTGGCGACAACCTCATGCATCCATGGACTCAGCATGTCAACAGGGGCTGTTCAAGCTGTGGAGGCTCTTTGTTGGTATGGGGCGAGTGCAGTTTGAGTGATTCGTATGGGACCCCTGATGCGTCTATATACGACACTGACATGTGACTCGTACGTAAGCATCGTGTCTGATCACCTGCACCCATTTATATCCATTGTGCATCCCGACGGACTTGGGCAATTCCAGCAAGTAAATGCGACAGCCCACACCCCCAAAATTGTTACAGAGTGGCTCCAGGAACACTCTTCTGGGTTTAAACACTTTCACTGGCCACCAAAATCCGTAAACAGGAACATTATTGGGCATATCTCGGATGCCTTGCAACGAGCTGTTCAGAAGAGATCTCCACCCCCTCGTACTCTTACCAGTTTATGGACAGCCCTACAGTATTCATGGTGTAGGGCTGTCCATAAACTGGGGTTTATGGACAGTACGAGGGTTATAAAATTTATTCGAGTCTTTGGAATCTTTATATGTTCTAGAGATGGTGAGTCAATACCATTTCATGGAATTCGATAACAATTAAGAGCTCTTAGTGATATAAGTGTAATTTTAGTATTCTATTTTTTGGTAATTCATAATATATTACACATAATTCTATAAAAAAATGTGTATAAGTAATTTTCATGATAACTTAGAGAGGTTTCCTTTGAATATAATAATTTAATCAGAAAATTTTATCAACTTTATTTAATTTTCTTTAGAGATTAACGTTACAGTGAAATGAAATTTATTCTTTGTTATATTCTGTTGGATACATAATTATCTTATCTTAAAACTGGTGCTGTAAGTTAAATCAAATAATAATGCAGCAAGTAATGATACTTAAACTATGAGACTAATAGATTTATCACAAACCTTTTTATAACTTACAGGTTAATGTATAAATATTAATTGTAAAGAAAACTAGATGTTTTTCACCTGGGTGAACTTTATTTATTTTTATATACATTCTTAAATATTTGACCTTTTACAAATCCTTTTCTTTAAAATCATTCTCGATTGGGATGTCAAAAGAAACGCCGAAGTAGAAACTATCTCTTGCTGGCAGCAATCATTTTAAAGAGGAGATGCAAAAAGGATTCTACATTACAATTGAATTATCTTAAAAAAACATTCCACATTATGCAAACGCTCTCTCAAATCCACATTCATTTACACACACGCGCGCACGCACTCACACACACAAGCAGAGAATGCAATAAGGAGAATTATAGGTGCATTTAGGATAATCTACGAGGGGCATTTAATAATTAAAGAGGGAAATTGATCTGGAGAAATAAACGTATATTTTTACAAAACAGGGCTTTTCCTACTTTTCAATATGATACCCACCAATATTTATACATTATCCCCAACGAATTACAAGATTTTTTGTACCGGCTAAAGATAACTCTATTTTGGTGTTTAAACCAATTTCCCACAAATGTTTTGACTTTCTCGTTATCCCGGAACTTCTTCCCCTGTAATGCCTCCTTCAGCGGACAAAACAAATTGAAATCAGATGGTGATAAATCGGGACTGTGAGGGAAATAAAGCAGTACTTCCCAACCCATTTTGTCGATAGTTTCACGGCTTTGTTGAGCAGTGTGAGGACTTGCGTTGTTCTGCTGCAGAATTTCACCTTTCGTCTGAGATTCACGACGTTCTTCTCTCGTGGCTCGCTTTGCCTTGTTCAAAAGCATCATCGAGATAATCACAAATAAACGCACGTATAGCATACCCAAACGCCTTCAATTGCCCTGATTTTTGCCGCTGATGCGGCCATAAAGATGTTCGTCAGTCAATTTGAACTGTTCTACCAACGTATAAAAATTTAAGCGGTTCATCTAACTTTCACCATACACTTTAGCCATTCTAGAGTATATTTGAGCTCTGTTTTTTTTTTTACTTTTAGCAACTAAAAAACAAATCGTAGATCGTTATTCAACCAATGTGAGCTTTTCAAGTCGACTCGCCACCGTTTAACTTAATTTTGAGTTTAGGAGCAGAACAAGGCTGATCCTCCAGATGATCGGAGCCAACGAGTTAGAACATAGTACACAGATTGACTGAAAACATAGTACACAAAGTGCCTCCATCTTTGCAATCAATTAAAGCCATTCGTTTTGCAGTCAAAGCAGCGCCCTCTGGAGAAAAGGAGTATTCCGTTAGGCGCTGGTTAAACCCGGTTGGGTGCGGGCGGCGCGTAATATCAAACGTCTTACTCTGTGTTTCACGATCAAAAACCAATCATTTAGAAACGAAATCAATATGTAAGGAGAACGAATTAAAAAAAATTAAAAACACGTTGATTCCTGCATCGGTTATTGTTATAAGTGAGGAAGCTGCTGAAATTTTATTGTAGATACCAGAAGGCCTGACAATGAATGTTATTGCAATAAGAAGCAAACATCACAAATGTGGACGCAAATATGAAAAATGATATATTTGTGGTTTGGTGTTTTCTACTTTTACAGTTATATGCCGAATATAATGAAGGCATTGTGATTATTATTATTCTATCAATTAATATAATTTAAATATAGGTAAACGAAAAAACAATATAGAAATAAGATCTGACATAAACAACACGCCACCATCAGGCACCTTTCATGTTTTGACTGCAAACAACATGGCGGCCCTAGTTCATCGCGGGTCCACCACGAGCGCTCAAACCGTAGGACCAGCCACTCTATGTAGTATACTCTTAATTCGTTGATCACACCTCATCCCAGTAATGCCCACTTAAAAATTACCAAACTTGCCACAACAAATTGTTTTTTTCTCCAGACATATTTGCCTCTTTAATTACAGAATGGCCTTCGTATTTGAATGCCGTGCACCCACGTGTGAGGGATACCAAGGCACACACCCACACAAGCACCTCGTGCACCAGGGAGAATGAGAGTTCCATTTAGGATGAGGACGCAGGCTCATCGCACGTAGTTGGCTATCCAGTCGCGGTGCTTGGCGAGGTCCGTGAAGACGACGTAGTGCTGCGTGTTGCAGACGCGGTGGTCGTCGCGCGACACGCTCACGCTCACCAGCCCGCGCAGCACCCACGTCTTGGCGGCGCCCGCGCCCCGCGCCACCACCAGCCCGCCGCCGCTGTCGCCGTTGCACGCGCTCGTCCCTGCGCACGCACGCGCCACACCCACCGCAGCGATCAGCAGCAAATACTACACACAATACTACACAGCACTACACACACAATACGGGACGCTCCGCGAGATATCGGGAAACACCGATGCCAGCTCCATCTAGTGGCAGGACCTGGTGAAAACTCTACAGCCTAAGCTCAGTGTCGGTATTTGTTTTCTGCTCGATTTCTTTTAATTTGAATGTCTTTCTGGAAAACTTATTTTACAATACTGTTCTTGACATTCTTCTTTATGGCAGGAAAAAATTGTGCAGTTTTTGGATGGTTTAATTATGAAATTCAAAAGAACTCGCATTCGTTCTTTACGTAAGAATGCTTTATCGAATCCAGATGAAAAGCATAAATTAAAAAAAACTCGCATATTATGACTAAGCAGAATGTGAATACCACTCTTTTCTACACAAATTAATTACCTAATAGTTTGTTTTTTAAGATTAAGTATGCTTTCGATACAGATTTTTTAAATTGTTTACGTAACAGTAAACTTGAGGTCAAAAAACAATGGAAATCATTAATATTCAATTGGAAAATATGGTATGTAAGCAGTGTATTAATTTGTATGTAAGCAGAGGTATCAATGCATAGATGCAGTGCTTTTTAAAGAAAGCAAATGAAAACATACCGAATGTATCACTGCACGTGTTGTGGCATGAAAAATCTTTAATCTTAATAAGACTCATTTTATTCTTGGAATATAACATATAATAACATCTCTTTTGCATATTATTATTTTCCGTAATTTGAGCCATTCAATATAATTAAGTAACAGAAAAAGTAGGTAAAAATAAGTCTTATTTCCTTAGGTCAGTTTAAAAAAATGTATTTCTTCTGTAAGAATCATATTGTTGCCTTTATTTGGCGCTGAAGTACCAGGTTCTGACACTAGGAGCGCTAGTGGGAACTTGTTTCCATTGGTTGCGTGGAAGAACGGCGAAGTGTCCTGTATTGTCTCTATAGTATTTGTTAGCAGGGCGCTTCTCTGCAGTGGCTGCGGACAGCGCTATCAATAGAAATGTCTTGTTGCGAGCACGACTTACAACTGGTAACCAATGAAAACCTACAATCATAACAAATGCTGGAAGTGTTGTCCCCTTTTAGCCACATAAATGCATTGATACTAAAAGCCCGAGACTTGGCACAGTGCGTAGAGACTTCTGGCACACGTTAGAAGCAATACAAGAAAACGTTTTACAATGGACCCTAGGAACCTGATTACGTGGTAAGATGGGGGACAAGAAGGCAAACAATGAGAATAGAGATGGAAAAAATGACATATGTAAGCTTGAGGAACGGAGTAGAAGAGGGAGGGTGGGAAGGAGATGAGTTATTAAAGCAAGTTTGCTGAGAAATGGAGACTGAGAAATCTGAACGCGTTTGCCACTGCGCACGCACACTTTGAATGCGCACACTATAGAGGAATTACTCTGAGAAGGACCAGCTTGACACTGCGGAAAACACGTGACTCTCATGTTAAGTGGGGTGTCCAACTGGAGGCCCTTGGGCCGCATGCGGCCCGCGGTGCCATTTATTATGGACTGCGAAAGATTAGTAGCCGAAAGTGAAAGTCCTTTGCATCCATGTCGGCTGAGAACACAGCGCCAAGCGTAGGCGCCCTGTCGTGATCAACATTCCCTTGACGTTCAAAATGGTGAAGTTTAGATTTGTGCATTTTTTCTAGTGAATTCAGAAATGGAAGATCATCAAAATATGTTTCTCTGTGTAACACGTGGAACAACCTGGTTCGCCCGTTTCAGAGCAGCCGGGAAAACTGAGATCATCAATAAGAGGGAAGCCAGATGTGTATCTTTCGAGTACAGTAAACATGGCGGACAGCACATTAAAAGTTTTGATTGTGGCCCTTGAGACCTTGCTCGTTGGACACCCCTGATATAGAGCGACAGCTTTGCAAGACGTGGTAATGAAAACCATTTACTAATGAGCTAAGTAAACAAACGCATTGACGAATTGAGTCCGTGGACATAACCCACCGTTATGTTGACAGCAGTAGTGTCAAAGTGGTCTCTCCCTCTCTCTCCCTCTCTCTCTCCCTCTCTCAATCTCTCTCTCCCTCTCTCAATCTCTCTCTCCCTCTCTCAATCTCTCGATCTCTCCCTCTCTCGATCTCTCGATCTCTCCCTCTCTCGATCTCTCGATCTCTCGATCTCTCGATCTCTCGATCTCTCGATCTCTCCCTCTCTCGATCTCTCTTTCTCCCTTCCTCTCTCGATATCTCTTTCTCCCTTCCTCTCTCGATATCTCTCTCTCTCCTTTCCTATCTCGATATCTCTCTCTCTCTCTCTTAATCTCTGTCTCTTTTTTTCCACCTTCAAGACAAGCAGTGAGGAGAGGGAAATCGGGAAATTCTATTTCGAGATCCGAAAAACTTATTATTTTATGCAATTAGTCTTTAGGTTAATTTTACAACTCTTAAAGCAAAAATTAATTTGTGTAGGTTAGCATTAATCCATTTTTACCTCAACTTTCTGATATTTCCGTTTTCAATCTCAAATTTCTATGTGTGAAAGTAGACGGTTGTTGCACTGTGCCCTGGGATTGCTTTCAAAAACAAAAATTCTTTGTTTTACGCTCAGCGGTAAAGCTAGGTAAGCTAGACTAGGTGGTGGGCGGGTTTTCGCTGCAGAATATAATAATTATTTTCATATTTTAATTTGTTTCTTGAGATCTAAGCACTAAAACTATCATTTGCCCAGTGCCTTATGGGCAAATTTTGCTGCAGGGGGGGCAGGGGGTTGGTTCTCGAAGTATTTTGATAGGGATTCCTGAGGATAACATAATAAAACACTTTACTCCCACGAATATTTGATTTTTTTGAATTTTCTTTTCTTAACACGACAACAGGGGCACATTGTTTTACGTTTGCAGAAGACTGTTTACGCCATCTGGCAACATAAAATTGGTTCAATCTCAATTCGATTGTATTTATGAATTTTATCATTAAAGATATATATATATATATATATATATTCCATTATTCTATTATTGAATTGAATCTTCTATAATTCGGTGCGAAACATAGTTATTCAAATAATCGTTCTCCTCGTCGTGGCAGAAAGTACTGTTCCTTCTCGAAGATTGGTTTTGTGGCGAGGTGTCACTGGTATTTAAAATGAAGTAATTATAGGATTGTCATTGTTGTCCTGCTGTATGGAAGCCTCAAAAAGACAACACATCGTAGTCCTTTCGTGGCTTCCATGCAGCAGAAAACTCATGATCATGGCTAAACAATCGGCAGCTGCTGTTGAAATAAATAAGTTTGTTGGAAATAACATTTCCTATAATTGTGGACTGTGACTAAGAACCGTGCTAAGTGCCAAAAATGGAAGTCCGAGATAATTAAGAAAAAATGTTTCAATAGCTCGCGGGACTGGTCTGGTGTGCAGTCTAGTGGCGGCAATTTGAACCCCTAGTAATGACAATTTCAAATACCTCATTTTACATCGTATTGCGCTTGATACTTACCACGCTTTTCAGCACAAAATGCAAATTTTCACATATTGACACTTCGCTTGAGTTTCATTTATGCTCTACAATTATTTCCTTCACGAAGGTAATTATGAGGAAAATGATTCCAAATCTACAGCTGATTTCCCCATGAAAATAGATTTTATTACGTCGGAGCGAATATTTTGTTAAAAATTCTTGCCAAAAATGCTCATTTGCTTTTGTATTTAGAGTTCAACTTGTACGTAGCTCAGGGTAGATAGCCCGGAATTAAGAAAACGTGCACAGAACATACTTCTCCTCCTTGCACGTCGCAACGACCCGCGGGTTTTAACTGTTTCTGACGTAAAATAAATAAAAATGCGGCAGTTGTGGGAGAACGGACAGGGAGGTGCAGGAGAAGACACAAAGCGGCGCGTTACCGTTCTTGTAGCCGGCGCAGAAGGTGCGCTCGTTGCTGAAGCGCGAGTAGAACTCCGGGTAGCTGCGCAGGCAGGTCTGCTCCGACACGATGGGCATCGACGCCATCCGCAGCTCCTCTGTCAGCTCGCCGAACTCGTCGTAGCCCCAGCCCACCACCTGCAGCACGCGCCACGCGCGGCGATAAGCGCCGGTGAGAACAGTGCTGCAACGTCATGTTTACAAACGTAGAGCAACGTTTTGGGTTCAAATTTTAGCATTTTAATGGTTTGTTTTGTCAAGGAAGAACATTTTAGAAAATATGTGACTTTGTAATTTTGAACTTGACACAAGCAACCTACAGGCAGAGACTGATTTAAAGTTAATTTCAATTTTTTTTCATTATCTATTCGCACATAAATATACTTTGTAGTATTTATTAATATTGTTAGGAAATTTGTATTCAAAATTTTCATTAGTACCAAGTTATGTGTATGAGAGAATTGTTAAAAATTTACGAGATGAAATTATGTTAATAGTTGAATTAGGGAACATTCTCGTAAAGCAAGCATGAAGTTATAGCTAAAGAGATTTCTCAGGAAGCCTAAACGAGCGATGGACACCCCTCACCAGTTAGCGCGCTTCCTCTTAACCTGTCCGCCGCGCAGTCAGTTGTTCAAAGGTCACGAGGAGGAGACGGCAAGCTCAGGAAATGTCTTCTGACGCACCTAAAAACGTCTCTTTAAAATGAGATTTTTCTAAATATTCCTTATTGAGGTAAACGGTTTCTCCAGTTGAGTTGTTGCTCATGTTAAATTTCAACATTCTGTATTTAACCTGTACATCTGACCATTCAGTACCAATTATTTAACATTCGTATGTAAGTGGGTAAGTATATAGTGGCAGACGGTGGGTTCAAAACTAGGGGAGACCCAGACAAATGTAGATAGGGAATCATAATGTAAAATTGAAACCCAATAACTTTTGGTTTAGTGGTAAACTGTTATTGGTGACATTCTAAATAAAAAAAAGATTTAATATTTATCTTCTTTTAGGGTCACTTCCATCTCAAAATTAGCTCTTAAAATAAAGATTTATTGTGTCCATTGAAATACTGGATCTGCCTGATAACTGATCCATCGCAAGCACAGAGCCCCACTGCCTGTGACCGCATCGCGCCTTCACAGGAGGAGTCTAGACGCGCGAGAGCATTTGTGCCAAACCCACTCCAATTTGGAACAAAACGAAACTCCTCTTTTCTTATTCGTTGTCATGGCATCGGGGAGGCGCGCGTCAGCTTGGATCGCCTCTATCAGAATCCTGCAGGCACGCGCAGTGCCAGAGTTTTTCTGCAGAAAAGTCGCCGTTTTCTCGCGCAGCATTACGAAACTTTCTCACTACTCCGTAGCGAGATAGAAAAAATGTGCATGTGGGTGTCTTACGTAGCCCTCCTTGTTCACCACGTGGCTGAGGTCGGCCGACTCCTCGGAGCCCCACATGCACACGTGACGCACGTACTGGGTGTAGGCCAGGCGCGTCGACAGCTCCAGCACCGCCACGTCCGCGCGGAAGTCGCTCGTGTTGTATTGCGGGTGCACGTGGATGGCAGCCACCTGCAACCAGGTCGGGAAAGGGTTACTGGCGCACCTGTCATTTCGTTGAACTCTCGGAATATTCAAAAACTGAAAAATTTAGAAATAATGCGGGAAGTATGTGCTGTTATAGCACCCCCTAGTCGATTAAAGTGAAGAAATGCGTTTAGAAAAACCATTAAGAGAAAGGAAATATCGCAAACGGTACGTCTTTACGGTACTTCTTTGGCTCTACGGTACTTCTTGTTTTGTTTGGAGAAACCACAGAAAACTACCGATCAGTGCAGCCAGCCGCTGGAATTCTCCGGATAGCGGCTGAATTCGATCTAGCTGTGTAGTCTGGCTGAGGACCGTTCATGGTTCCTATTTGTTTAATTAGTCTCTTGAATTTACTATTTCAAAATCCACATTTCACCCGAATGTATTCCAAACTCGCCTCACCATGATAAAATTATATATATGTGGGTCTGATAGATCGTCTATACATATTATCGATAGCGAAATATTTACGTAAATAAGTAATTTTTACTTTTTACATAGGATTGGGAACTCTCTTGTTATTACTCAGAAATAACAATACATTCTTCAGTTACAACATTTCTGTCTGTATTAATCTGTAAGCATGTATATTAATTCAAATATTCTATTATAAGCTACAACAACAATAACAAGTTTCATAAACACATGTCCTCCCATAAATTCTCGTATTATCATCTAATACTCGCTACAAATCCCTCCCTCTTTGCATGCATGGCCAAATCCCCTTGTAATTATTAATTTAGAAAGTTTACTTTAATACAGCACTTGGTCTTCCTTCAATAGCAAATATAAATAAAAATAAATGTGCCCCGTTTCGCTAGTTGCCTTGCGCAGAGATCCACCGCAATCTTGAATGCCGTCCGAAATCGAAGAACTAAAAAAAAAGTCTGATACAATGGATCATTTCCTTTTCTTCATTACAAAAAATGAATTTACGTACCATAAGGCATCGTTCTAAAGTGAAAAAAAACAACAGTTTTTTAAATACAGCTTAAAATGAAGAAACGGCTCTTTTACTGATGTGATTAATATAACAAACTTGTACGGCTTGTGGGAGGTTGAAAGTGACCAGTTTTTGCCAATGAACGTACAGTGGGAAATTGAATACAGCGGAGTTATATGTTTGATTCGTGTGGAATTTACCCATGTTTCGTAAAAACCATGACGGTTATGTTCTGTCGTAATGAAGGTTATTTAATTTTTTTGCCAAATTGTGCGTACGGGGTTGCATACAATCGGGGGTCAAACACTACAATACTTTTTCAATTTATGTGTAAATTAAATACCAAATGATCATATTTTGATTAAAAACATTTTCTATCGCATACAGCATCTAAATACAAATAATTATCGACTTGTCACAATATACTTCTTTGGTATGAAGTTTTTTGGCCCTCACGAAAAACCTGAAATTTGGATTAGTTCGGTACTTGTACAAATCCTATAATTTAAACTATATGTCTAAATATTGTCATATGTGTGACTTTTTGCTCTCCAAATTGATCACCACCGGAATTTATTCACTCATTTCGGATGGCATCATTATCTCTGCGGAAAAGTCAGTAATGCAGATATCGAAAATTCTACAAAGAAGTGTAAGTAATCTAAAGGGCTAAAGTAAAGGAAATGCAAAGAATGACAACCGGTAAAGGAAAATAAAATTTCTTCAGCACTCCATATCGATTACATCCGATTTCGGATCGATTTTTGACTGTCGATTCACTCCAAATTGTAAAAACATTTAATGTGTGTTATGACTGTTAGCATTTACAGTTACATTTATTTACCCATTTAACTCTATAAAGGTTCGATATTGGAAGGAAACGAGGTATTTGTGAACATTCTTTCGGATTTCGATCTAAGAATCAAAAAACGAATCACATTTAAATCACGCGTATGCCAATGAACCCCAGAGTGGCTTTTCTCTGTATCTTTGTGTAAATAAGGAGTTACTATTTCATCGTGTAGGACATTTTCCGTTAATTAGTGAAGTTAATTAGTGAATTAGTGAATAGAATTAGTTTTTAAACATATGCAATTTGCCTTCAAATAAAATAAATTGAGGACCCCTCTTTCCCACTTGTTGATTAATTAATTGATTATTGTTTGCGGGCGCGTGAAGTAATAACCTCATTAGACGCGTAAGTGTAGTGCATGTTTTCATCGCGAAGTTGTGGCGATCTTTCCCTGCTGAATGACAGGATTCGGAGCCGACCTACCGTCGGCCAGCGCGGTTTCCCCCAACCAGGTATCTCCCACCAGCGGGACACCGCCCCAGCCGGGACCAAGCTCTATTCTCCCGGCCGGTCTCGCGCCAAGTGTGGTAGATTTAGATTAAGATTTATTCAGTCAAACAAACAATAAAAACTGTATGAAACGTAGAGGGGGAAAAGATTATCTGCGCACGTTTTCTTGAATTCCGGAATCCCTTCCCGTCATAACCCCCAACTATAAATAGTGGAAAGATGAGTAAAAGTTTAAAATAAATAAAAACAATTTTTAAAAAAGTGCGAGACTAGCAGTATTTGAAAACAAATAGACATTTTCGTTCCCGACTTATAGAAAACTTATTTGCATTGGTAAACGAATTGCAAGTATGATTTTTCTGCATTGATAACAAAATAGTAACTCGCCCTTACCTCTACTCCTACCATTACAAGCAAACGGAGAGTTCAACAAAACGTGCGCAAAGTGAAGCTACATTTTCGTACAGAAGCAAAACAAGGGGCCATCTCAGGGTTTGCATAATGGATAAGGGAAAGTAGACAAAAACCTGATCGAGATAGGGGTCATTTACCGGGAAGCAGAAGTACAATACTTGTTACTGGTTCTTTACAATTATACAATCCACATGATAAATAATGCATTAAATGTCATTGTTAAAATTAACATTATTTTTCTTTTTGATAATCAGTATAGTCTCTAATTGTATAGAACCAGTTATGCAGCAGAAACGATTTTACTTTTAATGTAATATTGTGTACCTGCTTCAGTTGTTTAATGTCATATGTCAGTGTGTTGTAAAGTAACGTTCATGCATTGTATGTGGATTTCTGACAGTGAGCCGTTGGCACTGGCACTTGATGAACGTGTGTTGTAGTTGTAAGTCTGACCTTGCCCTGCTGCACGCCCTCCTCGTTGGTCCAGCGGTGCAGGTGGTACTTGCCCAGGTAGGCGATGATGGTGTCCGGGTCGACGGCGCGCCCGGTCGTTGGCCTGGTGACGCAGTGCGCCGCTGCAACCACACACGCAGACGGTTCGCCTCCCACGCACTCGCTTGATGCGGCCTTGTAGGGATGCTTTACTCTTTGGGTATGCAAATAACGCTTCATAGGGTTACCTAAAGCTGCCGTTTCATCAGCGCAATTCACACTGAAAATTTTCTCATAACACCCAAATACACCGTAATCACTTTCACACGATTCTCGAGATTTTACTAGAAACCACTGTCCGTAGCTGTGTTAATTTTGCGAGAAATTTCGGAGGACTTTTACAAGGTTCTTTCATTTTATACGCACAGCTCTGACAAATTAATTATGCAATAATAATTAGATACGCGCTCTTTTTTATCTGACGTGATATTGATAAATGACGATTATAATGCGTCTTTTCACTTAAGATGCAAGGACAGTTATAAAATGTTTAAATTCTTGTTTGATTCCGCAACGAAATCGTAAACCGTAAAGTTTTGTATGCACCACGGGCGTTACTAGGCAACTTCCAACCCCTTGGGCCAGAGGCTCTCCGGTTTGGAACTCACCCTTGGGGCAAAAAAATCTACTTAACGCCACAAATACGTATTTAGCACGTTGTGCGATAGGCGGTTTCTTTCGAGCTTGTTTTCTGTGCGCGAAACTACTAATTTTTTCACGGTGTGCGAAACTTCGCGAAGCGAGTCCAAAACATTTGTAAAGATTCGCAATTGTCTTTCGTCTTGACGACGACTTTGTTTATTTTTTACAAACAATAGCGTTACGACACTGAATGGAATTCGTTTATTTTTGTACCAGTAAGGTATTTCTAGTTATTTGATATTTAATTTATATTCCTTTACATGACGCATTGCGTTTCGCTCACGGATGTAAAAAAAATAGTATTTGCAACACGGGTGCGGGCTAATTTGCGCCAAATATTTAAATTGATGTTTCTGTGTTAATTTATTATTAAGGAAGATATTTACTTTCTCGCCTTACGAAGAAATAATAATATTTATTTCTGAATTATGAGAGGGATATCAACGTTGGTCCCATAGGAAGTGAGTTGATCCGGAGTTTAGGATGCCACGGTTCCTTTGTAATTCGGTTCACTATTTCTCGTGATTCACAAGATTATAGTTGCGCGGTTCACTTCAATCACTTGAGAATAATTTTGCTGGCATTGATTAATTTTCTTAAGTCAAAGTACAAATACAATAAGATATGAATCAATGCCATATGATGCTATACACTACGCTATTACGAAACATTTTTTCTTCATGACGATACATTTTAAATTTCAATTCACATCTAAAATTGCACTTCACAACACTCTTTCAAAATAAAAACAAAGCTCAAAATAAGATTTTTGCTTGCTCGTTAAACTTATATATAAACATAGAAAAGATTAAGTAGGAATTATTAGTGAAATATACTGCGGATTCTAGTGCGTATAAAAATGTATTAAATAGACAAGTAGAAATGGATTAAGTAGAAGTTGCTTTTTTAGTAATAAAATATTGGCTTTGAGTAGTAATGAAAGTTGAAGTAGCATAGGATGTGAAATAGAAATTACATTTGTTGCGATAACATAAACACGCGAATAGTAAACAAGGATTCGGTTCAGTGAGCCGATTCCCCTTTAGTGAACCGAATCAGTGAACCAAAGGAACCGTGTCACCGTAACCTCCGGCTGAACGGGGAAGCGTTTTACTTGCTTAACGGAGGCGTGTGAATCGCACCTGTGACCACGTGCTTGCTGCTGACAAGCGTGCCGCCGCAGATGTACTTGAGGTCGGCGCCCTTCACCTGGTAGAGCGCCGCGTGCCAGGGCCACTGCCCGCGCGACGTGTTCTGGCCGTGCGTGATGAGCGGCGTCACGGTCAACGTGCGCCCGCACGCCTCGCCCCCGCCTGCCCAATCAGAACACACGACATAACTCTATGCAAAACAAGATAGAGCGTAGGCTTCCGCGCCCGGAGCCAGTATTTCCTTGGCTGTCCGGTCGACGCCGCGTCCATGGCATTACGCCCTGAGGAAGGTCGCAGAATGGCGACCGAAACGTCGGCACCTTCGCCTTGGATTTGGCGTCACCCGGACAGCGAAGTAAATAGTACGCAAAATAAGATTTGGCTGTGGGTCATTCTAGGTTACTATTTGTTGGATGTGAGAATCCATTTCGAAATATCGACTGGGTCAATTGCCTACGGTTTCATTTATATAAAAAAAATCAATTTTAATAAAAATGAAAACTAAATGATACTGCTATGAATAGTACATCAACTAACTAAACAGTTCTATGAATATTAAACAAAACTAAATTACAAAAATATCGAATGCTACATAAACAAAGCAGAAAAAAGCCGAAAATCACCCATGAAATCTGAAAAAGCAGTCTTTTGTTCGATCTATCGACTTCGATGCTATATATATTCTTGATTTGAGTATACGTACTGTGATTAATTCATTTCTTATGTCTTAGATTAAGCATAAGCAAAGAAACTCCAAGCTTGCAAGCTCTAAAGTTTAACATCTTACGTGTTATGCTTATGCGAAAGCATTGTGAGTGAGTCCGCTTGTAGTCGTTGTCCCAACTGTTATTTAACGCTATGATAATGTTTATGTTTGCATCGTGAATGAGAGGCCTTCGGTTGCTCATTGGTTAGCCTACTCTCTGTCTACGACGCAACCTCGGGTTTGACTCCCGACTGGGGCAAAATTATAACTTTCCCTGCAAATGTCCCAGTACCTATTGCTGCCCTCCCTCAGGTTATGAAGACCAGAATATATGGTGGAGGGATATCTTCGTACTAACATCACAAACCCCTTATCCCATGGCCACGAGGCTGGCCCACCGCTGGTCGGCCAGGCCCGTAGCGGGCTATAGAGCCGTAGGACAGAACAGGATTTGAATGAGCCTTCATGAAAATTTCTCTACATAAACCCAACATACCGTACGCCGGCTAGCAGTGGCCAAGCAATAGCTGTCAGAGCGGAATGGCTACGTACCTGGCGCGTGGTGCGGGCGCGGGGGCGCGGCGGTGGGCTTGCCGGGAGAGGGCGCCCAGCCGCTGGGCTCCGTGGTGGCCTGCCACTGCGCTTCGCCCTTGTTTGTGGCCCGGGGGCACCCTCCGTGGCCCGGCGGCACCCCCCGTGGCCCGGGGGCACCCCGCCGTGGCCCGGCGGGCACCCGCCGCCGCTTCTCTCGAGGCCCCGGGGGGCCCGCGCGGCGCGGCGCCGGGCTAGCGCGCGGCGGGCGCGTGGCTGGGCGGGGCGTGGCGTGGGCGGAGTCGCGTGGCCGAAACGTACGTCGATGCGGCGGGTCGAGCCCGGCCGCCGCGCCCGCCGGCCTCTCGTACGGGGTGCGGGCGCCTCAGCCAGCGCGTTGCATTTCCAATTCGCACGACAGTGGAAAACGGCAAGTTACGTGGGTGGGAGAAGAGGTAGGAATGATGACGACCCTTTTTGTTTTGGGACCTACAAGGTGCATGAATAACCCTAACTAAAGACTCAGTTCGGGTTTTACTTCCAATTAAGCTTAATATAAAATATGCGTAATAACCTAAACTAATAGGTTTTATTTAATATTAGATTTTTTCTAAATAGTATCTGCAAGTTGGAATTGAAACACTACCTAACGTACTGTTTATTAGAGCTACAAAACCTGGAGTAGTTTCTGAATTTTTCTGATGAAAAATCTGCCCCCAAACTGTTTATGTAAAAAGGGCATAATATAAAAGGTAACCACACATATTTTAACGTACACTCTTCGCTCCCGGAGTATACAGAAAACGGATTTGCACCAGAAAACCAACTACACGATTTTAATTTTTTGTACTGCTACAAATAGCAATCTTACCACCCCTACTCGTATTCGTACAACTAGAAAAAAAAAAAGACTCAGCAAAACGTGCGCGTAGTGAAGTTACATTTATGAACAGAACTAACAAGGGGCATCTCAGACAATTCGCCTCTATGAATTCAGGGAAACTGACCAAATCTGATTCGAGAATGGGGGTCATTGGACCCAGAAGCCTGAAGTACATTAGCTTGTTCAGACATATCTTACTCCTTTACATGGATTACACATGAAAACTCAATTAATAAATAGTTATTGTTGAAATAATATTTCCTTTTTGATAGATTATTAGGAGGCGGGATTTTAATGAAATCTTCTATTGCGCTGCTTACGTAAAAGACATTAATTGTGTGTTATGACAAAAGAAAGCTCATTTTGGCAGGATCTGACTATAAAGTATTTTTTTTACGCTTTTTCAGTCATTTTGAAAGCATTTTTCCGCTGATTTAATTCAATTTTTAATATTATTTTAATGGTATTTGCTACAAATAATATTTAAGAGACGCACCAAAATGTTATCATTGCTTATTCTATTTTCGACATATATGTTTTGTGAAATTCAGTTAATAGCATTGCCACAAAAAATTCCAAATGTTATCTTTAGTGTAGGCTATGTAATTGAACTCCATTTTGACTTCTGTGCGGTGCATTGTGCTTGGAAAGCGTGAGGAGAAGCTCTCACTGGTCGTAGTCGTCGTCCTGTGCGGGGGGCGGGCGGGGCGGGCGGCGGGCGGGGGCGGAGGCCGCGGCGGCCCGCGCGGGGGCGCCGCCTGGGGCTTGCGGAGGCCCGGTGGCCGCACCCCTGCGCTCGCGCTCGCGTCAGTGGCCGTGGCCGGCTGGTAGGGCGGGGGCGCCGGACGCGCCTCGTACTCGTCTCCGCCTGCGGGCCACGTCACCAACGTCACATCCGGAGCGGAGCTCACCGCCAGGTCACTCGAAATATGAACAATTAAACAATCACTTGCCAACGTTTAGCCTTTCATCAGGCCTAGTGTACAAACAAAAAAACAACAAGAAGACATCAATATGAAATTACATCCACAGTAATTATGATAATGCTAAAGCCTAAAACTAAACGTGATATACAACCCAAGTGCATACATGTTATGTCACGTTTAGTTTTATTTTTTTAGCATATCATATTATTGTGAATGTAATTTTATATTGATGTCTTTTTGTTGTTTTTGTTTGTTTACTACATTCTAGGCCTCATGAAAGAATTAAAAGATGCGTGAAACTTTAGCTAACTGATTGTTTAATCCTGCTCAGATTTCGAGCATTCCGTGAAGTGCATCCCTCAAAATAACCATGTTCTCAAACGCACAAACTTCTTTTGGAAAACGTCGTCGATGGAGAGTTTTTGCAGGACGCTGAAGCAACTTGGGCCTCGCACACACACTCACACTCGAGTATGATGGAACCCGGTGCTTCCTCAACAGGTAGAACGATTTTTAGATTGATTCAATGAATCGTTGAATCGTTCGGCATCTGCGCTGTTATTGGTGGAAAGCAGCTCTTTCAAAATCCCCAGAAAATTGATTTACGTAAATAAAGTAATTAAAATATCATAAATCATAGGAGTTTCAGTACACACTCGCAAGAAACGTACATTATATGTCTTTATGAATCATTTTATCCATCAATAAATATCCATCTTTATGTCAAATTCCCCAAATAATCCCCAGGTTAGTTCACATGCATGTATGAATATAAATGCTTTATGATGCATAATTAATCATGGAAAATTTATAAAATTATTTTTTTAGTTTTGAAATAGATGCAGTTTTTTCTGGCTTATAAGTTTCAATTCAATGCATTAAATAAAATAATCGTGGTTTACAGATGGATTTTTCAATATGAATCAATTTAGAAAGATGGAATGATTCTTTGCAGAAGCCTCGGATTCCCTTTCTCCAAATAGATTCACTCCTTACAGCGCCATCCCCCATATCCTCACATACCTCCACAACTCCGCAATATCCCAAATCCAAAAATATATCAACAATCCTTATTCCGAAACCAAATCCGCTCCCACTATCACATCCTCGCAACCCACCACGACACACCCGGAAAAAACACCCCCTGGACATCTTTAAACTTCCCTCTCCTATTACCTAAGCCAGAGGACATTAACGAACCACGAAATACATAACCGACTGACAACGAATCGACAGGACAACTGACACGCTGTATACGCGCGTCCGCAATAAATACAACTCCGCCGCCTCTTTAGCGAAACCCTTGCCAATCTTCCCCCCCCCTCCGCCAGCCTTCCCACCCATCCCAGTCCTCGCCCTCCCACCCCCGTCATCCAGAACCCTAATAAAATAACCCTTCTCTCCAAAGAAAAATAACCCCTCCACAAACAACCCAGACTCCCGGTCCCCGTCCTGTACGGGGGAGAGGAGTCGAAAACACCAAAAACAAAAAATCCCGCCAAAACGCCCACCGTTCGAAGAGACCCAGCAAGGGATCAGGCGAACATGTACTATACACCAGGTGAAGCAATTGAAGCAATTACAGCGCCACCATGGATCAGACAGACTATCGAAGAAGTACATGGAAGCCCAACCTAACTACTCGGTGCAACTGTCAATTCAAACACAGGAAAATGTTTTTGCAATTCGAAAAGGAACTCCCAAAGACAAAGAGTACTTTCAAACAGCAAAAACGAACACTGTTACGACGTAAATACTCCAAAATATAAAAGAAATGCTTTATTACGACAGACCAGTAATTGATGCAGTTTGAGTCAAACAAATGTGAGTGAAGAGCATGTGTTATTACGTGAATTCAGTGCACACACTGTCGACGCAGTTGGGGCCGAATTTCATGTAGCATGGCCGAGGGATCGATTGGGATTCGATATAAGTCACCCGCTAAATCTGTTGCATAATTAGTTCCATGATGGAAAGATATGGGTGAGCTACTCCGGTTTACCGATTTTTGCTCGATAGGCGCAGCACCAGTTTGCGTCACAACCCACGAGACCACAGCATGTGCACTTCGTTTGAAATGTAAGAACAGATGCTGTCTGCCATGTTGCATGGAGAGCGAGAAGTGTTGAGAAACATTTTGAAAGTGGTACAAAGTGACTATTTTCAACGGCAACCAACAAGAAATAACACGATGAAGGTGTACAAGGTGCAATATTTAACAGAAATTGCTTTATGTATCTGTTTTAATGACTTATAACTGGCTAATGATTGTTTTGGTAACTGGCTGTATTTAAAATTCCCGCTAAATTGTGACGCAAACTGGAGCACATTAGCTGAATTCGGATACGATTAGGGCTGCCAACCATCCTCAATTTGGGAGGACAGTCCTCCATTAACGTCAATTGTCCCCTCGTCCTCCTTTGTATTATAAATGGCCTTCTTTTAGTTTAATTCATTTTATCACATGACTAAGATGTGCTGCGTTGTATCGTTAATTATTTAATTTAGAATAGAAAACATGAATATCCTTTTTCTGAACACTGACACACGCATTCATAGTGTGTCTGTCTACCAACTAAAATAAAAAAAGGAGACGTTTAGACCATCTTGGTCTGCATTATATGAACGAATCTTTTCCCTTGAATCGCAAATAAAGTGAAGAGAAAAACAAGGCTGACGTTAATCCGAATTAAGTTTACAAAGGCATGCAGTGTGTTGGCTTATCGAGGGCCCTCCCTCTAACATGAGTGTGCCGCGATTCGCTGGGCCTCACCCTGCGCTCGTCCGCGTCGTCGGCGTAGGGCGGGCGGCGGGCGGGGGCGGGGGCGGGGGCGGCGGCGCGCTCGTACTCCTCGTCGGCGACGTTGGACGGCGGCCGCTTGCCGACGGCATTGCGGTGCGCGGCGGGGGCGGCGCGCTGCGTCGTGCGGTCGAAGTTGTACTTGCTGTTGCTGGGCGAAGAGTGGCTGAGGGGCAGCTCGTCCTCGAGCGCGTAGTCCGGCCGCCGGCGGCTCGGCTGGCGCGGCCGCTCCGTGTAAGAGTGCGAATCTGCAAACAGAATTCCAAACGCATGATTAGCCGCTCATCCGGATGCAGTAGGGCCATGGTATTCTTAGCAGCCGATCTCGACTGCGGGTTCGAGTCGCGCATCAGGCGTGGGTGTGGGTGTTTGTGGCTGAATGTTTGTGATTGTTCCTTCATCATCATCATCATCAACTCATACTTTATCCCCCCAAGGCTAGAAACCCTGGAGTATAAAAATGGATTCAACATAAAAGTGCTGATCCCCCACCCCCCAAAAAAGTCACGTGCCCCCGGGAGAATATGACTGGGCATCGGTGGGTACAAGTGACACGTTCACGTGGTCCTAGGTCCTATTTCATAAATAATTTATAAAATATGTGTGCATAGCTTTAAAGTGTTAAGAAGGTTGGCGACAGAAACATTTGGTTTGTTACGCGTAATCAACATAATATCAAGTTGCAAAACCTTAAAATCCTGAAAACCTAGAGATGGACGTATGACGATAGTAAGCGTTGACTGTATTGCGCGTGGTTAAAATTTTACTTTTTATTAATTTAAACTTTTGAGGTTAAAGTTAAAGATTAAATATGGTAAATTGAAGGTGTTGTCTGGTATCAAAAATTTAAGAACAAAGCAAAATGAATTTTTGATACTAAACAACACCTTTAATTTACCCATTTTAATTATTAGAAGGAATCTACCTCACCAGCGATCTAATTAATAAAGTTAAAGAGTTGAAGTTACGACGAGTCACTGGGGTGTCTGAGACCACAAGATCAACATGGGAGATCGGCGTCGTTCGGTAAAAGGAGAAATAACGACACATTTTCAATATGTATGTAATTAATGTAATTAAAGATAATATCTCGCGGGGTGGTGGAGGGTGAAATCAGGCCTCCACTCACATGTGCTCCTGCGGAGGATTTTCCCTACTCGAGGAATCTCCCCCGGCCGGGTCGATCTCTAAGCCCCCGCCTGGTCTCTTGGTCCCTGCGCTCTTTTCACTTCCTCGCTGCGGAGTAGTGAGGACGTTACGAAAAGCCGCAAATTTTCGACGCAAAAACTCTTAATACAGGTCCCTGATGATGATAAAGTGGATAAATCCAGTTGCTAAATTGAGAATAAACAAATCCTCTAGCATGTCGTGTAACCATAATTCATGTTTTGTGGGTCGTCGATACCGAAAAATCGAATGACAGCAAAACTCTGTCCGTCTGTGAACAACGCTAGCGGCTAAACTGTTCAGCTGATATTCTCCATAACTGATATTTACCGATCTATCTGTCTGATGTCGCGGCACCTTGAACTTGAAACAGATATATCGATTTTGGAGGGTACTTTACATAAAGCTCTTGGAACATTTTCCAAATTTTCAAAAAATACACTCCATTGGTTTTGGTTAAATTGTGTTGTTGGATAGTGTGAAGGACGTTTAAGCGAGTGACGAGGTTTCATCTTCGTTGAAAAACTGATATTTTTGAAAATTGCAAAAGTTCAAAGTGTTTTTGAAGTCTTCCTACATCTAAAATATTAAAGATATATATTTTTTTCTTAATAAAATCTGTTTCTTAAATATAGATTTTGAAATACGGCCATGAACAATGTTTCGAAAATGGTAGTACTTTGTGCGTAATTTTGTTTGAAAGTCCGTGTGAGAATGTACGAGCTAACACCACTTCAGGTTGCAGAGGCTGCTGGCGTTGCGCGTGAGCGAGCTCACCTCACCTGACCGACTGCTGCAGATTCGGCGCCCGTTGAGCTCCACAGCGCGCAGAACGGGGATCTCCTCCTTCTCGTCGAACTTCACCACGATGCGCACAGATTTCGGGGGCCCTGGCTCGATGCGCTTGTACAAGTTGAGAATCGTGAAGCGTTTGTTGTCCTGCGTCGTAACATTTCCGTCCCAGTTGTGCTGTCGAAATGGAAACACGTGAATTAGCTGAACATCGCTAATGGATATAATCATAAAAGATTATTAAATATTTGAGTGAATGATTAATTTACATGCATTCAGATTTATGCAAGGTGTATGTTTTCGTTCAAGGGTTTACTTTAAAGAGTACCGATGCTGCTCTCATTATTTTCTTTCACAGCATTAAAAACACGATGTCTTAATGAAATAACTCTAGTTCTTTAACTTACTGTGGTAAGTTATATTGTTTAATTATGTTGCATAGAGCTCTCGAATGTGCAATAACTTCAGGTATTTCAAGTAGTGAAATTCTAACAATTCAATAAAAACATAAGTTAATTAAATGATTAGACAAAAAGGTTAATTGGTGGTAGAAAAGTTGAGCTCGCAATCAAAAAAGCGTTTCATCAGATTTTATCGATACAGTGGTGTAGTCATACTTTCGAATTAATGTAAGGGAGCTTGTACGAAACTAACCTTTTAAACTGCCGTTAAAAAAATGTTGCAAAAAGATAACATTCAACTCATAAAAATATTTTAATTTTTAATATAAATATTTAACTTTAAATTATAAGCATAAAAAGAAATAAAAATAATAATTTAATCTAAATTATATTTAGGTGTATTATTTTACGTGTATTTATGGTATTATTTTCCACAAGAAATGTGACTTAATGAGCGGACAGATGTGATTTTCAGTATTCTGTGACGAGCATATGCAAATTAAATATTATTTTCACAACAGACGTTTACAAAACTACACTGAAAAAATATAAAATTTCCAACAACGTCGTCGTAGTTGGAGCAATTACTACGTAAACAATACAGGACACTTAGAACCTTTTTCATACCTTTATTGAAAGATAACTGCTCACTAGCAAACGTAGGACGTAGCCTGTATAATCAGCGACTAATTTCAATTTAAATACTTATAGAATATCTTTCGAATCACTATGCGAAACTTAAGTGAACAACATTTTTTTCAAATTTATACACTTCGGGCAAATTTATACAGGTCGGGCCATGTACCATGTGTGTCCGAGTGTCATGTATTGTCTCTATAGTATTTAGCTGGAATGAACGTGTTTTACGAAAACTTGGAGGTATTAGATTGAATGGAATCGTGATTAAGTGAATCGAGTGGGCAGTTATCAATTAATCTAACGTTACAGCCAACTGAATAGGTATCTTACACGTTTGGGTGGGTTTTTACTAGCCGCCTGTGTGCGGCACACAGGTCTGTTGGCTGCGAAATAGCATTTTTATCAGTGTAGCTTAGTACCCGGCGTTCCTGGATATTTATCACTATCATCTTTGATGGCAGACTCAGCCTTAAGGCAGCACTTCGAACAGATAAATGTTTTGAAGGTTAGAGGATTACGAAGATGTGGATGTTGGTGGAATGACAGGCGGACGAGAAAACCCCCGTGAATTCACTTCGACCACCAAAACCTCCACGTGGCCCGACCGGCATTCACACCCCGATCCCTGCTATGGAAAGCAGGCTGTCTGGTCGCAGACACATCATTCTTAAATCATCTTTAAATGGTCCTTTTTTCATTTGTATTGGTACGAAAAGGGGTGGACCAGTCTCAATGCACTCTGTACAGAAAAGTGAAACACATAATTTTTCTTACACTTGCATTTTGATTTCCTACCCACCTCCAGGCAATATTCCTGAAACCTTTTCTTGGTGGCTATACGGGTGGAGTGATTTATTTACTTTCTGCAATTTCGAGAGTGTTTGAGTATGTTGGATTTGTGTGGTGAGGTATTTGTGATGAGAAGTGAAACTCTTGTCGCCAGTGGTGTATCATGACAATTTTTTTCTATGAAGGCTCCAACGCAGATTCACACATTTTTAATTCGCGTTTATCAAAATGGCACTGAGTGTAAGGTGAGGAATTTTATATTAACGTCACTGTCATTTTATATTATTGGCACTGTTACTTCTGGCGGACCACTGTCTCTTGTCTCTCCTTTAAGCGTTTTAATTTTCATGAAGAAGTGAGTCATTCTGATAAGCTGAGTTGGTAGAGGTGTTTGCCTGTAATGTGAGTTCACCACAGGTCACAAATGAAGTCCAGGCTACCCGAAAGGCCAGTTTAGACCAGTCTTCTTCTTCTGAAATCAAACTGACTGTAGAAACTCTGCATACTGTCTCGCGAGCACACGTACTGCGCATGCCTCAAAGTGCCCGAATTTTATTGCCTTCCTCCTGCGATGAGTAAGTTTACAAATAAGCAGAAGTTCAAGACACAAAATCTACAAAGAAGCAGACGTGAAACGTAATTGTGATTTGTAAAATTAAGCACATTATGAAGTAATGAAAACAGTTTTTATTTTTCATTTACGTTTGGGTAGCCCCCTCCTTCCAGGCATTGGTTGTCACATGTACTGTGTTCTAATGATGTCTTGTCCGTGCTGTCGCAAATTCATTAGCACGTTTGATGCGTATTAAACTGTTTGGGTTTCAGCGCTGTGGCGCCCGAAAGAAATATTTTCATCATATTATTAGCAGAAAACGAAACGACTGAACAAAACGCTGCCTCGTTCATCCACTTCCAATTCCGGAACAGAACCGTATAGAAAGAAAGTCCATAATCAATCGATTTTCTGTAGAAAAAAAGGAAGAAAAATTCCAGTGAAAATGGGCTTTCGGCTGCCTTCACACGCCGCCACCGCCGAGCGCCACCGATTGCGAGAGAGAAAGGTTTCGTCATTAACAAGGCTGTGGGCTTTGGTGGCCGATTGGCAGCAAGCAAGTGAAAACCGATTCAGCGGGGTGTCCGAGTGGTCATAGTATGAAAACTGGATTGTAGGGCCCCATCCCACGTTGCCACGGCAGCGCGCTTCCGAACGCTCGTTGCAAAGCATTGGTTTAAATGGAGGTCTTCCCACGTGCGGTGGGTTTGCGCTACTATGACGTTCGGCGGCGGACTCCTGCGGGAAGCGCACATGAACACTCGCCGTGGAGTTTTACCTGCTGTGGTCCCTTTGTTCGTCGTCGCCAAAAGGTCAGCGAAACTTCCCCCCACAGAACCCCCCCGGTCCGCAGCGTGCGGCGGTGGCGGTGTGGGAAGGGGCCCTTAGACATGTGTTCTGCTGACGGAGGGGCGGCAGGAGTTCGGCCCTCGTATTAATACCTTCCAGCAACGCTTTGCCAGCAGACACGCCTCTCGGAAGCACTGCTGAGTGAAGGGGATGGTGGGGAGGGGAAGGAGGTCGAACGCATGTAGCTGGTTACCCGGAGCGCAAGCACCTCCGGGTACTCAGCAGCGCTTTCAAGTGGAGTAGTGTGAAGGCTGCTATTTACGTCAATCAACGCATTGCGCTTTGAGTGTCGCCGTGTGAAGGGGATGGAGGGGGGTCGAACGCAGGCAGCTGGCTGGTTACCCGGAGCGCGAGGGCCGGCCTGCTCAGCCACACGTCGAGCCGCAGGCCCGTGAGCGGCGTGTCGGTGGCGACCAGCACCACGCCGTACCAGCGGTCCCAGTCGACGGTGGCGCCCTCGTACGAGAAGACGTCAGGGCAGGGCGACGCCGGCAGCGGCCGGTCCTCCACCTGCTGCCCAGACGCCGCCAGCAGCAGCGCCCCCAGCGCCGCCAGCGCCGAAGCGGTCGCCTGCAACACCAACCACTCGCAATTGCACGGGCAGAACTGATTGCGCACATACGTTTCATTTAATGGTGCTAAAAGAGCACGTATTTTCACTTAAAAATTACGCGAAAAGTACTTAAATTTTCGAAAAATTGTACATGACTATTTGAAAATCATATTTTTAAGGAACATTTCATTAAGTGAAAAAATATTAATGTTTAATATTTTAGTTGTAGAAAGACTCATAAAAACTTTGAACATTTTTCAATTTTCGAAAAATCAGTTCTTTAAACGAAAATGAGACCTAAAACATTATATCAAACGTCCTTCAGACTGTTCACCAACAACATTTAATTAAAAACGATGGACCCTTTTTTAAATTTGAAGGTGTTCCAGGGTCTTCCTGTAAAGTACCCCCAAAATTAAAATATCGATTTCAAATTAAGGAGCCGCACCATCAGCGCGATCAATTGCTTAATGTCCATTTCGGAGAAAATCGGCTGAACGGTGTAGCCACTAGCGTAGCTAACAGAGGACAGACGTTTGGCCGTCATTCGTTTTTTCGGCATCAAGGACTCACAAAACATGGTTTTTGGCTACACTAAGCGAACACGATTTTTCCTAAATTTAGTAACAAGATTTATCCACTTTTTTGTTACCAGGGCTCTGTAAGAGGAATTTTCTGCTAAAAATTCGCCGTTTTTTTGCGCAGCGTTACATAACTTTCTACTCCGTAGCGAGAAAGTACAAATGTCGGCAAAAATACATATGTTTGTAGAATGATCATCATATAATAGATATATTTATTATTACATGCATTACTATTATCTCACTGCCGGTGTAAACATAACCTCGTATATGTACGTATTGCCGAAAATATTAATACACAAAAAAATTGATGTATCTGTATAAGGGGGTGTTCATGTTCCTGCTTAATTCTTCAATGTGGGAACAATGCCATTTCAAGAAAGCGTGATACACGTTACCAGTGAATTACAATGAGGAATAGAATAAGCGGGCGTAAGACATTCCTAGAAGGATTGGCGGGGAGTGATTACAAACAAAATTCGGTATGTACATTTTATCTGGAAAAAGGTCATAAAAACTGTTTCATCGGGTATGTTGTATGTACCCCGGCATACTTCTACGACAGTTCAAGCCGGACACTCCGATTTTTATTTTTATTTGACCGCAACTACTTAGGGGTCTTGTGGTGGAAGCAAAAAAAGTTTCAGGATGAACGGATAGCAATCCACAGCTCCTAAACCGGTTGGATTTGGGTGCGGTACATCTTGGTAGAAGATCGCAGGTGGATTTAGGCGAAGAGATACTTTGCTACGTAGGGGAGATTCGTTTCTTCCTTTTTCGTTGCCGCTCTCGCTGGTCAAGTCGCGCTGCTGTGGTTTCGTAGCTGCAATTACCCACTTCCTTCGACTCCTCAAGTGTCGGTTGCGCGTTATAACCACGTGAGCGTTTTTCGCGCACGGGAGTCAGATGATGACGTCAGAGTTATTACGGCAGCTGCGCGCGTTTATAATCTTCGGTCGGATTCCAAAGGTCATTTACGGTTTTTGCGCATTTTGATACCGCCACGATGGCCAGAGCAACCTGGAACTTTAACAGCAGCTTCTTCGGCCCCAACGAGGAGAAAGAATGAAGATGGAATGTTTTGTTGCTTCTATCAAATTTGAATACTCGTAGGATTTCCACTGCTCGTCTCTAAATAGTCGTATGTTACTTTCTGACGATAATTAAGATAAACCATTGGTCAGAGACAACAAATTGTACGAGTATCCAGAAAGTTGCCGGACAGGTTTCAAATAAAAATGAAGATAATCCTTGTAAAGTGCGCGCATTTCGCGTGAGAATGCAGATCCTGGGGCGCCTCTGACCGGAGGTTCTGCGTTTCGGGTCCCGACGGTGGTGGTAGGATAGAAGAGCGCGAGCTACGTCGCGTCTGGAGGAGACTCTAGCGGCCGGCTGCTCTGATCGGTAGATCCGATCAACACCAGGCGAATGTTGGAGAAGGGCCTTAACAAGCGGGACACGGTCCTGGCGCGATCTTTCTTTCGTCTTCCTTATCCTATCTTCACCCTTTAAACACACACACACACACACACTCACTTACATACACTTCACTACCATACATGTTGGGAGACCAGGGAGGAGCTTAGAGCTTGCCCCGGCTGGGGCGGTGCCCGCTGGTTTGGAGATACCTGGTTGGGGAAAACCATCGCAAGCCCACGGCGGACGCACTAAGCGGGGGAAGATCATCTCCAACACCTCCAGCATAACACATACACTACATTTACGGGACTAATGCCCTTAGCAGTTGATACGCCCGGAAAAACTAATCAGTTCATCAATTGAGATGCTCGTAGAACAACTGCGTCGGATGGAAAATTTTTGTTCTTGTTTCTCAGAATTAACTGAAAGCGCCACAGAACTATCTAGAACAAGCAACTCAAAAATGAAAAAAAGTAGCCGAATGTATAAATTGAGTGCTTTTCTTATTTTTACGTTTTTTATATTTGAACGCATATATTCATTTTTTATAAATAATAAACAATTTACATGTGTTTTCGAGTGTTTATCTCTCTCTGCAATTCAAATGTTGGTCTAGACAGAATTTTTTCAAATCAACTTTTGACTGCTTATTGCGGTTCTGCTATTCGGAATATCCAAGAAGTGTATTACACAAAAGTTTAAGATTGTTTTAAGAGCTTGTTTTCAAAGTTTCGACTTTTCCTCTCCAGACACTGTAAAAGTTGATTAATTGGAATGAAAATGTGGTAATAATAAAAACATTTGTCATCCCTCACATTGGAGGTGAAGCTCTTTTTTTGAAGGTGCAACTTGTATTCACTAACTATATGAAATGAATATTATCCCCACCCTTTCCTTATCCTTTCCATTAACAAGTAAAATTGTTAATGAATCGGCTTTATCAGTTAAAAAAGTACGAATGTAACTTCGTACTTACAGAATATCAAACAAAAATAAAAAACATTGCAATTGATGTTGGAAACAATTTTTAAATAAAGATTTATTGAGTATTATGGAGATATTTCTTAAAACAATTCACAACACTTCCTTAAAAATATTTGAAATAATTATTCAATATTCTTTGACAGTTCGCTTTTCGCTTGAAAGTTTCACCGAAACACTACTAATAATGAAAGTACTGGTACAGGTAAAACACAAAACAAACCTAACAGGACACGTCTTTGCTCTTCACTGTACTCCCATATCCCTCTACAATTAGGTACACAGAATTTGAAGACCTCAGCAAAACGTTAAATGTTTTCACTACACGAATAAGAAACAATCTCCATCGAAATCAAGCAACTATTAATAGTTCTTCTAGTTGTTACTGCGAGTGCAAATCTTGAATTAATAATTATGCAAATAAACCTGTGTAGCTTCACTTTGTGCACGTTGAACTCTGTTTTTGCTAGTAATGGTAAGAGTAGAGGTAAGGGCGAGTTGCTGTTTTGTTAGCAATGCAGAAAAATCATACTTGCAATTCGTGTACCGATGCAAATAAGTTTTCTATAACTCAGAAACGAAAATGACTATTTTTCAAATATTGCTTATCTTACGATTTTTAAAATTTAATTTTTATTTATCTCTCTTTAACTTTAAACTATTTATAGTTGAAATGACGGGAAGGGATTCTGGAACTCAAGAAAACGTGCGCAGATTATCATCTCCCCCCCCCCTACGTCACACAGTGTTTACTGTTTTTATGACTGAATAAATATAATTGAATCTAAAACCTCGTCAGTCTGCGCAATCCACGGTGTACAAAGCATAAATAGTTTAAGATGGAGGAATCAAACCTTCCATGCGTAACCTCTCAAAAATGGCCACCATTAGTAAGGGTTGAAGTGTAGGTGGCATTGGTTGAAATTATAAGTGCCGAATCATCAAAAATTTAATGGAATGTTCAAGAATATTTCGTTCGGAAGATTACGGTATATTTTTCTTTGATACGTTGATGAACGTTTCATTGGGTCCGAAGACCTCCAAATTATAGTTTCAAGTCCCTAGAACGCTTTGTTTAGGAGTTAACGATATGTTTAGGAGTTAACGATATAACTGAATCTAAATTGATTGCTGCGGGTTGCATTTGACATGAATATTTGGATGCGTTTTTAAACAAAACATTCTTATTTTTGAAGTCAAAAGTGCAATTCGTCACGTCTTCGTGAAATTCTCTTTCTTTAGAGACAACAATTATAAAGATTGGCTGCGTATATGTACTACTAAAATATTATAGGAGACGATACTCCGGTTTTAATGCAGTGTCTCCTGAAGGTCACGAGCTGGAAGGATGGAGGGCACTGTGTTCCAATCGCGAGCTTCAATACCAAGAGTTTAAATCGTATCGAAGCTCCCGATTGGACGATAGTGGTTCCCTTTTGGCTGGTGACCATGAAGGAGGCATTTAAATCGGAGTATACACATTTTTAGAGATACGATCTAGTCATCTGTAGTGTAAGAGGGGGATGAGAAATTACATGGACTTCATTATAGTTATATTGTCAAAGAATATGTTAGAAATCAAGTCAGTTTCACACGACATAGTAATTTTGTCATGTAATTTTCTTGTATTTTATTAGAAAAGTGAATCGCTATTAGGAACAAAGTATAGGAATTTCATGACATAATTAGGGGGCAGATTTTGATAACCTAAAATATAACCCAAAATATCAATAAAATGTTCGTAAAATGTTTTTAAATGCTCTAAATGCAAAGAAAAATTAGTAAAAATTTGATCAATATCAGTTCAGATGAACAACTCAAGGTTTTGTATATGTTATGATGCAATCGAGCTTCCTTCTTTCTTTCAAGAGAACTCCAAACTTTTGGTTTGGACTGGACCAGGAAATCTTCGTCTTTAGCTATCGTGAAATGCGCGGAATCGACAGTGTTGCTGAAGGCTTCCCTAGAATCTTAAATTACATACTCAGATGGCAATTTCTGAGAGAAGAAATAGAATAGGCTACTCAGGAATTCTGGGAAGAACATTTATTGCATCTCGCAAATATTATTTGAAGTACCATTAAAATGATAATAAAATGGATGAAATCCGTAATAAATGCTTTAAAAATTCCAAAAAGGTAACAATGACTTATTAGTCGAAATCAAAGAAAGATGCAAAAAAGTCATATAAAAATGGGTATTTTTGTTTGGTAATAACATAATATCAATTTGTACACTGAAAAGAATCGTTCAAAAGTGAAAAGGAAAAAGACGTTTCATTAAGATCCGCCCCTTCGTCATAATGTTCGTGTTGAATTTGTTGGTGTCGTCTCTAATAGCCTACGAGCCGAGTCCCGATGACTCACGCCTCTCGGCCTGCGCACTAGCTGTTGACTCGCGCCGCTCCAACGCAATCGCGAGGCGACGCGAGCGCTGGTGGCGCTGTGGGGCGGCGAGGCAGAAGGCTGCGTGACGGCTGGCCTTCGAAGGGGAAGCAGCCGCCGCGTCGACGCAGGGAAGTCCCGCGCCCACCCCGACCGACCCCCGGAACGACTTGGACCGACACATTTCGAAAGTTTGGATTTACGGATGCATTAGTTTGCCCTCGTTTGACCACGATTGCACACCAGTAAAATAAATTTTACCAGGCCCCGTTCACAAATAGAGCAAAAAAAAATTTTTCGGGTCAACTTCGCGCTTTTACGAAATTACAAGATTTTGTCTAAAATATTAAAAATACCAAAATTTAAAGTGCACTTTCGTTTGTCCAATTTAATCATCGACTATATTATATTTACCACGTTTCCTGTAGCAGATGACGAAAATCGTATTCCAAAGCATCCAGAAAGCAGGAATCGGGCCCCCCCAAAAATGGAAAATGCAATTTTTTTTTAAGAATTCATTTGTCTATTTTTGCCCATCCTTGGGATTAAGGTTTTTGCCAATTTTTGAACCGTAGCGGGTAAATATTTTTTAAAGTGTGGGCAAAACTCCACAAACATTGGCCAGAGCAAAAGCAAATTTAAAGTTGGAAATTTTTAATTGTTTCTTGCTAATTTGGCGATTTTGAGAAATGGCGGAAAAAAATTTTTTCAATTTTTAAACCGTAGCTATTAAAACTTTTCCTCACAAAAAATGCATTTTTCACATTTTTGAAGACCATGTTCACGGTTTCTGGATGCTTCGGAATGAGTTTTTCGCCAATATCTGCTAAAGAAAACGTGGTAAAAATAATGTAGTAAGGGATTAAAGGTGGTCAAACGATGGGCAAACGAAAGCGCACTTCAAATTTTGGTATTTGTTAACATTCTACGCAAAATCTTGTAATTTCGTAAAAGCATGAAGGTTCCCGAAAAAAAAAAATTGTTTTCGCTGTAATTTATAGACGGGGGCTGGTTCAAATTTTCTAAAGGATGAGCAAACGTGGTCGAACGATGGGGAAACAAATGCACAAGAAAATTCAAAATTCAAAACTTTTTCGGACCAAGTTCACGGTTGTTTCAATTGTGTGATATTGTGGGCGAGTTCGGAACCATCAAACCAGTGGCGACTTTTAGAGCCTGTGTATCATACCACCAACGAAAAGGAAGGAAAATACTTTTTCATCACAAATGTGGGCATAAAATATCATTTCTTCAAAATTGTATTCATAGTAATTCAGCTGAACGAGCGTTTAGCTTTTCCATGCTCTATCAATATCAACATCCTCTCGTTAGAGGCCTAGGGCGCAGTGAGGTGCTACCTGTTGGCCTGTTTCCAAACCGCTAAGCCACCTACGGATTATCAGAGTCTGCGCAATTAACGTTGTATAAGATCGCCGTGAAGCGTTCAAAGTGTATGCGTCTACAAACTATATGCGACTCTTATGGATGAGACGATGCCAAAATTCAATTGGCGCAGTAGTTCACGTTCTGTTCGACGAAGTGCACGTCGTGTGTCTATCTGCGTTGCGCAGACCATCTCTCGCCCTGGACGACCCCGATGCTCTGCTATTTCGTACGTCTTTCCTTGTCTCGCAGCCGGCGAGGAGGCGTAAGGCTTTCCCCCTTCCTCCCGCACCCTTCTTCAGCGAACTCTGGGAGCTGTGACCTCGTCAGATTACTGTGGGCGCTCAGGCTTTCAGGGTGAGTATTTTTATTTGTTCTTATTATTACTATTATTATTATTATTATTATTATGTTTTTTTAGATAAATTTTCATTATAACTTAATAAACACGGACTCGTAAAATAAAATTAAGTTGCCCACGAATTTTATTTTAGACTACTAAACCAGTTTTAAAACATCGCGTCGATGCGTCGCGTGCGTCGATCGCGTCAACAAATCGATGGTTTTTCATCGATGTATTATTAACATAAATGTTTTCATTTTGAACTTCGATAATCAATGTTACGTTATCGATGTCGCATCACTAACTGGCACCGCCAATAGACTTCCATATCGGTCGCCTCTGCGTCGACTACACTACGTCTACTACGTCGACGTCGACTAACACCAATATTAACTCCAGCAATACGTGATCCAGAAATGGCCCTGGTGCAAAATGCATGATTATTTGGACAAAGTTGCCTTACGAGCGATGTCCCCGATTGTGAGCTTCCTAAAGAGAGACCCTTCGTCGCCGAGCGCGTGAGCGTCGCCGCCCGCCACGACCCTCGGCGTCACACTCTATGGAGGTCCTAGACGGTCACCCAACCCATCTCCAAGTCGCTTAACCTGCGTGACTCCGCGTAATTAACGAATTCGGCTGGCGACGCCGGTTTTGCTGTCGTGGCCTTTCTGTAGAACCATCCCAGCTTTCGCCCGGGTGGCCGAGGGAAACTACAGCCCTGCTCTGCACGGGGCTTGAACACGGGCCCCCCGAATGTGTATAACTAGCTAACAAACTAAATTCATAAATAAATAAATAAAATAATAAATGAAATAATAAATAAAATAAATAATAATACTTCTAATAATAATAATTCCTTATTGGGGGCGAGGCTCAGGCCATTTAGCCTGTCCAGTCATAACGCTACGCCCTGATCCTCTTCGCTGGGTGGGACTGGCGGGTGAGAGGACATTAACAGTCGCAAATCGTCGGGTTTACGTGAGTACACTGGAATTTCCATTTCGCTGTAACACATGACGTCGGTTTAGAATTTTCTCGGAACATCCAATTAGTGATGAAAGACAAAATTGTCACTAAGGGTTCAGAAAGCCTATAGAGTTTTATAAACCTTGTGTCGTGAACCTTCAAAGGCAGAAACGCGAGTAAAAAGAAATAAAAAAAGAAAAGTAAGCGTCTAATGATAAAAACCCTAAACACAGACACCGAGTCTCCTTACCTAAACAAAGATGTAGGGAAAGCACCCCGCTAGGGCCAATTGTTGACTCCCCCCTCATCCATTGGTTTGAGGCTTCTGAGTATCGGATTCCGGGCAGGTAACGCTTTGCCTGCTCGCCTGGCACCGTGCCACAGGCAGCCACGTGGCGCCGCGCAGTGGGCCCCACGCGCACCAAAGCACCTTGTGTCTTATGACCACCCTCTTGGGTGCAGCAGGGCATCCACACAGAGTCCCCACGGTGCCTCTGACAGGGACGTCCGAGGGTTCAAGATTTTCGACACTAGCTGCATAACTAGATCGAAATTTGGGCGCTGTCTGGAGGAGAATTACAGCGGCCGGCTGCTCTGATCTGTGGTTCCGTGGTTTCTGCTATCAACACCAAGCGAATGCCCGAGCAGTACCTTAACAAACGGGCCACGCACCGCGCGAGATCTTTCCTTCCTCTTCCTTGTCCTAATCTCACCCCTCAATGACACCCACCCACACACTTATATGTACTACGCTACCACACATGTCGGGAGACCGGTCGGGAGCTTAGAGCTTGTCCCGGCTGTGGCTGTGCCCCTCTGGTGGGAGATACCTGGTAGGGGAAACCCCGCTAGCTGACGTGGTTAGCGCCAGATATCACCATCAAGTGAGGGAAGTTCCCTGCTACCTCGCGCGATAAAACACGCACTACTAACTAGTCGGCGGCCCGGAAACTTCCATTCATGTGCTCATTTGTCCGCCGCCGTTTGCCGTTGGGGCAAGTGCTGCGCTGAGCAGGTCTTCCAGCCTTTGCAGCAGTCGGCGCAGGAAATCCCCTCGGTGGAGACCAACCGGTTTCTTCCTACTCGACACAATTAAGGATGGGCGATTCCGTGGAAAAGTCTATTCGCTTGCACAAATGCCCTGTGGCGCGGCAGCCCGACCAGCGGTGGCCCAGCCTCTCGGCCACGGTTCGAGTGGGTAGCACGAAGACATCCCTCCACCGTATATAATGGTTCGTATACAAGGTTAAAAAGTCGCTACACCGTATATGAGGTTAAAAAACCTTATGGTGGACTTTCTCATCGTCTCACAGCAATAGACACACTGACATTTGTAACGAACGCGCACAGTTTTAATTTCGTCCCGGCCGGGAATTGCTAACCAACGAGCCTCCAAGGGCGTGTTTTACATGTGTAATATTTTAACAAATCGATGTATAGGATTTGTTTACAACTCCTTAAGAGAATCGTAAAAATAAACGTATTGAGAAGAATGACGTTTGAAAAGAGCAATGAATTCAGTAAATAAAAAAAACAAAAAAACAATTGAGGGGCTCAGGATAATAATGGTAGACCCCAACCGACGTCGCATTTTCGGTTACGAATATGGCGGTAAACTTCTCTCATATACCTAACATACGCTGAAATATCGAATGAACTGGGTATATCAAAACTTTCAAATTCCGCCTTCAAGAATTTGTTCGAAGTGAAAATGAACGTGAACGAAAACGTCATATTTCTCTAAACGAAATTAGGTTGGGTTCTTCTGTTATTATTCTGAGCGCCTTAATTGACTGAAAGCTCGAACTTACCGGAAGCAAAAATTTAAAATAAAATTTGTTACACTTATTTGTATTTATTAGTGTTAAACATGTATAACGATACAATATAATTTAAAAGATAAAATATTTTCAAGCGAAGCACTCATAAAGCAAATTGCTGGATATATATACATATATATATATATATATGCCCACACGCGGGCAATCGTATACACAAACCTATTCGAGTCAAAGAAATTCATGATTAATCGATTCTGCCAATAATCGAAGATTTTATTTTTAGCGTTGAATATCTTTCATAAATCTATCATTCGTCCCACAGTAACTTGTCTTATATGGGATGGCACTGCATAGCACATAAACGCAAGTTAGAAGTTATTCAAAATAAATTTCTAAGTCGAATATTAAATGCTTCTGGGTTTATTGGCAATGACCAAATTTTATCAGCACTGGCGATATAGATTCAATAAGTGCGTGGATACCAAAATTATCAAATCGTTTGTATTCTCTCTTCCATCTTGTCGAACAACTAATTCATATAAATTAGTCAAATCATGAAATCATTTTCCGGCATTAAGACTTGTTATTCAAAAGATACCTTTTCAACCCTCTTAATTGGCAGTATGAAATTCAAACTAAAAGAAAATATATTAATTTGTTAACAAGTTATTATGTAGGATCCTTCCTGAGTAACATTGGGTATTATAATGCAATGCTTGTTGAATATGTAATAGTTAATTGATTTATGAAAATATTGTAATTGTGCACATCCTTGAAAGGCGTTGGACGACGTACAAGTAGAATAAATATTTTTTTAAAGTAACGCATCATTTTTTGTTTCTTTTCTACAAATCGAGGTATTGTATAGAAGGTACTCCATCATGCGAAATAATGTGTTCAATATTGGCGTTTGTTAAAGAGTATCCAAAAATCCATTGAATCCTGTCTTTGAACTATAAGAAATGTACGAATTATGATGAGGTATTGTTGACGTAATATCAAGAAGTAAAAGATGTCATCTCAATCAACATAATATGTTTATTATGAGAGCAAGCTTTCATATGCCGTCATCATTAGTCAACAAATATAAACAAAATAGAATATAAATAAAATACCAAGAAAATACAAAATGCCTTGTAAATACCAAAAGCCAGATCTCTTAATAAACATATTATGTTGACGGAGATCTTTTACTTTTTCAACTACAAGGCTAAGTCTGAAAACTTTCTTGAAAATTTGAGTTTTCTGGGGATATATATCATTTTAAAAATAAAGTCCTTGATTGGCGAGTAATCATTCTTAGAAATAATTCATTGTGTATTAATGGAATCTTTTGCTCGTCTCTGGTTATAATGACACGAAACGCAATATAAGGTGCCCAATATTCGGATATAATTTTAATTTTATTGGGAAGTGTGCTAATATTATATTTTGAATTACTATACGAGAACATCTATACCTACAAATGCAAAACATTCTTTTTTTGATCTCCCGAATATATTTTTCTAACATTGACTGTCTATCTATATGCATTATCAGGGTACACAAAATTTTTCCTTTACTCTTCTTGCGTGCAAAATTGGTACTATTAAAAAGAATAAGAATACAAATAGAAACTGTAACTAGATATTATAGCTGTCTAGATGGCCGAGATTGTTAAGGCAGTAGTGCCGTAGCGATCTAGGACTGAAGAATGGCAGGTTTGAGTCTCACCTCGGACATTGTTGTATTTGTGTTCGTCCTTTCACCCCTCACCATCACCATATCACATCATACTGTTACCCATATCCTTAATATCAATAGTGGTTGCTAATGACCTAGCTGTTGATGCGACCTTCAATTTAAAAAAAGATACATTAAAATTGTACCTTTAATTACAAAACTTTCATTACATGCTTTGGCTTTACCTTGAATTCATTTTAATGGAACTTCACATTTTAACGCTGAACATTGCATTAAAGCCCTTCAAATGGGCCATACGAGTAAAATGATCTTTCCGATCTGTGAGTAAGGTGAGGCAAGACGTGATGGGGCAGGTGTTGATACTACGTACCGTTCATCTTTTCAAGTCTCCCTGCTATTAGTTTGAACGAACTGCGAATACTGTTCTATTACTAATTACCGGAAAGTATTCCTAAAAATCAAAGCATAATTATAACGTAAAATATACTTCTATTAATAACGGATATTAGAGTGTTGTAAAGCATCGCGTGTTTTGCGAAGAAGATTCTGGGTATAAAATAAGATTAGGACCAACTGCTGTAATC